CAGCTTGTATGGCAAAGGACATGCGGGCAGAGCTGCCGCGAGCCACGGACAAAAAGATAGGAGACAGGGATGGCCGGGCCTCGCAGTTATGGAATGCGCGCCCGCTAAAGAGGACGCGCCGAAGAGGAGGTGGGCGAGTGGGAGTGATTTACTGGTTGAGACTTGAGAGTGGGCTCGGAGTCATGGTGAGGTGGTGGTGGTGTTGGTGGTTGTGGTGGTGTCGCGGCTCAGGAACGGCGCTGCTTGTGCACAGTTGCTGCCGAGACCCCTGACTAAAGGAAGCATTACCCGGGTGCTGATAGGGAAATACCTCGATGCAACTGTGGCCTCACGACTGGACACCTAGGCCCGGCATGCAATATGTCTTGAACTGACGTAGCGGGCTACTATGCCACGGCATCAGGCCGTTTCTTTTTGGTCCCCGCTGCTTCAACTGGAGCCCAACTTGCTAGCTAGTCAGGAGGAGAAGAGAGTTCCTTCTTTTATCCAAGATCCTAGCTCAAATAGTTACCTCTAGATTCTTCTTCCCGGTGATTGTGAAGTCTTGCTCGTAACAGGCACTCTATATGCTCGATGTATTCGCAGTTGCAGATCAATCTGCATAGTGATTGTCGTTATCTGAGGCATAGACGGCCATTTTATTTCCCACCTCAGGCGCATGCTATTCTCATTTCCAACCGCACCTGGTCGTTTCCACCCCTGGACCGCATCAACTGCCCTCATCTCCAACTCTGATTACCTTATATGCAACAAAAGGTACTTCAATCTGAGTCGTCTGGTCGTCGTCACTTTGAGAATTAGCGCAGCTCAAGCCCCGAAACAAACTTGAAAGACCCTCCTGTAAGCTGTAGGTCTCGGACATGTAACAGATGAAAGACCCAAAAACCCCGGGAACAAAGAAAGGCCCAGTCTTCTAGGCGTCTTCCATGAGCTGGTAGAGCTGAACCCCCCGGGCAAAGAAGCATTCCGCACGTCTCCTCATCTCAACAGCTTTCCCCGCCCCGAAACAAGCCTGGACCGCTGGGAACCCTGGATTTGGTGGCTCATTTTTTTTTTTTTTTTTTTTGCTGCTTAAATATGGTCCGTGTCACGATGGTACGGTAGACTTCTTGAAACATGCAGTCTCCCCCCACTCTACGCAGAATATTTCCGACGTCTCTCATGTCAAGTTACCCTCCACTCACTTTTCTCCTTCTTGCGTATTTCCGTAGGAAGGTGAATTTGAGTGACGCGAAAGTTGCACATGGTAGCGGTGCGACGCTGCAACTGGCTCTGCAGGAGCTCGCAGGCGGCGGAGCGATAAGGTAAGAGGCGCTAGAGATGCAGGAAGCCGCATACGCACCAAGGCGCCACTCAGAGTCGTCACCCAGACGTTGCGCACGGCGACCAGACGGTGGCTGCGCGCTATCTCGATCGACTTGCGGCTTTTGAGAGGTGGGAAGCAGAGGCTTGAGATTGGTGGTGCAGAATGGAGGATGGAGGATGGATGAGGAGGAGGAGGCTTGCACTTGGGAGCGCTACACTAAGGTAGCGCGAAGGAGGGGGTGAGACCGTGAGAACGAAAAGAGCCGGTGGACAGTTTCGTGTGGCATCCGTTCTTCGTCGTTTCTCGTTTGACTGGCCAGTGGTAGGTTCTTTGGGTTCTTCCTGCGTTTCTCCTTCTTGCTCTTACCTGGGCTCACTGGCTTGTCTCTTGCTTGAATCGTCCAACTTTTTCCCTTCACTGGGCGGTCGCGGTTGGCGACATGGGGTTCGTTGCCACGTTCCCCAATTGTTTGGGGCGGAAGCGGAAGGCAGCGCGCGACTCGCAGCTGTATTTTGTCAGCGGGGAGTTTCAGCTGGCAGATGCCCGCTGAAAATCGGTTGCGGCTTCCCGGCTTTGCGGCCGCTGGGCGGGTCAAATTCATTGCCTTGATGCCGTGGCTACCTACCTAGGGGATAGTGCTGTATTGCCTAACTCCGCATCTGCAGCTACAGCCTCGTTCATGTTCACGTTCACGTTCACAACCACATCTCAAACTTCGAACTTGGTAGCATCCATCACCAGGCGTCGGTCGTGCCATCCGATGTTCGCGTTTCTCTCGAGGAGTGGCTCCTTGCAGACTCTTTTTTACAATCATCAGAAATGAAGGGTATCGCCGCTCTGTGTGTAGTCCTCCATTTTTGACTTCATAGCGCCCATTGAGACCCGTTTCCGCAACGGACACCCCTGGTTGATACCATGACGGATCTGGTCCCGTCCCGCCTTTGTCTCCAATCTCACCGACCAGTGAGTAGTGACCGCCAATCCACCTTCACGATTTCTTCTTGTAACCGAAATTTTGACAACGGCCGCGCAGCTAGCTTTACGTGCTAGTCTAGGGACAGACGCTAGCTCGAAATCTCGGGATTGTCCGTACACTGCCTCCACATCTATTCTTACGCCACGGTTGACATGACGAAGCCTTCCCATGGATTTTTGGATCATTCCGAGACCGCAGGAAATTTCCTTGAAAGGCTGAAGATTTGGTCGGGGCTCGGCTTAGCCAGGCCGGACCCACATTCCCAGTCTCTCCTCGAGGCTTTCCCCTCGGGTGACATCGCTTCCTCGTCACTTTTGTGGACTATGAAGGATACCTTGACATCGAACTACAAAGCGAGAAACCGCCCCGCAGAATATGAGTACCCTTTAATGACGATTCACGTCGAAATTTCGAGAAGATCAAGTGCATGCGGTGCAATTTGGGTGTGGCTTAAGCTTCATTGCGCCCCACATGGTGCCACTGCTCATTTGCTCTTCTGATTGCTATTGGTTTTGAGTTGAGGTGTAGATATCAGTCTTGGTCACCAAGCTTAAGGGCATGCTTGGTCCCTTGGCTCTCCACAGCTGGCTCGATAAGCTTTCAAGCACCATGAGCCGATCGGTTGGCAGCATCCACATGTGGGATCGCTGAAGGCTTCGTACACGAACAGTTTTCTTCCTGTCTACTCGTGGCCTGGGATGAGAACCACGTAGACATAGCACAAGCAGACTACGATACTAGCACGGATGAGAAAACGCGTGCTTTATTTGATACTTCGATGGGACTCGGCCGAGCGACATTGCATATCCCATCGCTGCTGCCTTGTCCCCAGTTCAGTAGAATACGGCGAGCCTAGATCCTACCGGACTGGTTTGTGTTAAAGAAACGGGTCTTGAAGTTGATAATCTCTTGTCCTTGATACCACTGTTAATTGCCTCGACTAGGTCAGGCAATTGGGGCCACCGGGCCCGAGGTCTGAACAGTCTGCAGCAAGAGCCGGCGATGCCGCACACTGAAGCCCAAACCCAGGTAAGAAAGCAGAAAGACACGGATTGGTTTCGCAATCCGATCCCATGAACGAATGTCTCGGGGCAGAAGCCTGTCAATAAGGCATGAAAAAGGCAGGAGCCGTAAGGAAAAGCACCGCCAAAACAGACCGAGCGCTTCGGCAAGAACACCCAGACGTCACCTCATGACCGAGCGTGGACCGAGCACGATCCTGATTCTAGAGAATTCGAGTTCTCCAATGTAGGATAGCCCTACAATGCCAACACCGGACGGGGAGGTGCAACGTCAGTAAGCAGAGATATCAGGCGGCTAGAATCGGACGATGATCAGCCTGGAAGGCCGTTCGCAAGCTGCGACGGATTCGGGATGATGTCGTCCTTGTTTCTGTCTGAAGAGCTGCAGGCCTGTTCGCTCGGCCATTCCGAGCTATTTTCAACATCGGACCTCAGTTGCGACCGATCCCGAAGACTTATGGGCAATCCTAGCTTAGGATTCATGTCATGTTCCCTGGTTCAAACCTGGCAGGCGGACTAAGCATGAGTGCTTTCTCGTCTGAACCTGCTTGGATTACACGATCATCGTCTCGTATTCGCTGGGCCATGAACTTCAGGGCGTCCGTTAATTCTGTTTTTCTTCTCCCGATTTTCAACTGCCATTGCGTTTTAGGCTGAGAATGTTCTTTCAAGTATCATCTTTATGAGACCTCTGCAAGAGATGCCCAGTCAACTGTAGCTGTGATGAATGACAAGATAACGACCGAGACGAAGTCTTTAGCGCTACCAGTATCTATACGGGGACTGAAGCATATTCATAGGGGCGAGCACTCAGGTGGCTAGCATCTCCCATGCTTTCACTTACGCTAATTTGTTCGCCAGCACAGATGTAGTTGATCCGGCACCACGTGCCTGCTGCGTCTCACATGGGCTCACTACAGACAAGAACGACCAGGAAGCAGTCTAACATGCTTATCGTTCCCCAACGAACATTGACACCGTGAAATCAACATGGGCAAGGGAGAAGAGGAGACAGCCCCCACAACGACGTGTCATCGCGCCGCGAAAAAATCGCGGCTGTGTTGGAGATCTCCAACGCCCGTTTGCCTCCCGGTGTGGTGTGTGGACCAATGTCCTCTTTGCGTCCGAACAACGTCTCCCGGCCGAGTAGATCACCAGGCTAGAACATAACAAGCCATGCATATGAAGTGTTGGACCGGTGTGCTACAATCTCAAAGACGTGTAGCGAGGCCAAGCCACCAAACATCCTCGACGACGCGACGACGACTGCGCAGATCTCCACTTCGTGTAACCTCGGGTCATGTTACCCAGGCAATAGGACGGAGTGGGTGTGGTGGTGCGCCCAAAAACAAAAACCAAACAAGCTTGCTGACATCCATCCCAAGCCTGACTGGTCAACGCAAGAAAGCGTGGCGAATCAATAAGAAGAAGAGCGAATGCACCAATAGAAGAGTCAATCGCAGCCCTGCTTCGAAACATGCAGGGGCGGCTGTGGCTGACGTGCGGCTCGGCGACTGCATGGTTGACGCGTCGACTTCATCCTGTTTGTGAAAACTATCGTCATGGTAGAAGATGAATTGTAACCAATGCGGGTATCTCTATTGAGGATGAATCCAATGCTAAACAAAACAGCGTATTTTTCTTTGTTCGTGGACTCGTCATGCTGCCTCTTCTTATGCGTATAACTGCACACATTTCAGGTAGCCAAAGAAGAACCCCCGGTATCGGGTTTGTTAGCCTCCAGCATCAAAGCCTTGTACCGGCCCTGTAGAACCTCCTTTGGTAGCGTGTACAAAATCTCGTCCCGCAGCCGCTTCTTGTCGAATGGTAGCTTCTCCAACTTGAGAGCCTCCAGGATGTAACTCACGACCGTGTTCGTCTGCAGCGGGGGGTCTCGGAGGACCTTGGCGACGGCCTCGGGAGTAAGATTGTCGTTGTCCTTCCAAATGTAGTACGATCGTACAGCGGAAGGCGAGGCGCGGAGGTATCTGATGGTAGCACGGTAGCTGGCTAGCTTCTCGTCGGCGGCAACGACCCTGGCGTCCTTTTGGCGCTTCCGGGGCGGAGCGGCCGGTGCGGCTCTGATGCTTTCGGCGATTGACTGCCCCTCGCCGTCTGCCTCAACTTCAAGACTGTCCCTGATGGCTTGACACTCCGAGGCCGACAGCGGCGCAGATATATTGCGCTGGTCGGCATCCACAGCTTCGGCATTCTCGTCTGTTGTCGGGAGGGTGACGCCATCTGCAAACCGAATGCTCAGGCCGAGCTCGGCATTGTACGGAAGCGGCGGAGTAGGATCGAGACTCTCGCGCTTCTCGTTGAGAACGTGGAATAGCTGGAAGCCGGCATACGCATCCGAAGCGGAATCTAAGTAGAGTCAGCATGCGAATGAGAAAGGTTCCATCAGGCACTTACACATAAGCTGGTCCATGTTCAGGGACTGGGACCAGTCACTCGACCGGACATCCTGCCCCTTGAACATGGGCAGACCGAGGTGTTCCTTGACCATTGTAGCCAGAGGTACAAGCCTCTTGTTGATTAGTTCCACTTCACCACTTGCCGAGTATTTGACAAGCTTGTACAAGTGGCTGAGCTCGAAGACACCCCTTGTATCGACCTTCAAGTTGTTTCGTATTCGCGTACAGTCGCCTTTGATATTCACGCCCACCTTCCGCAAATCCGAATCCTCCATGATCTTCCGGAAGGTTGGCGCAACAAAGTCGTCGTTGGGAAACAAGGCAATATGGAAGAGAGCGATCCGCTTCTCGTTGGCAATCTGGATCAGAGATACGTTCTTTTTCGGACCCGAGGACCTCTTGGCATCTGGAAACCACTCGAGATCAAACCCAAGAACTGCGTCGTCCACAAAGTATTGACATACTCTCTCCATTGTGTGTTTGGTCTTGCAATAGTGCACCTTGACTTTTTGCTCGGCCCCATCCACCGGGGCCCCTCGATAGAGTGTGTAAGACCAGAATGATTCCGCCATGTTCTCTTTCGCCCCCTGAGCTTTGCGGAATGCTGGTAGAGGAACCTTGAAGTCCAGGCTTGTGAGCGGGGGTTCCGCTGGTGCTGTCGTCGCCGCAACCTCGGCCTCAACCTTGCCCTCCTTTGCGGCCCCTCCGCTGTCTGCTCGGGGCGCCTGAGCAGTGGGAACTTTGCCTAAAACTGGCTGGTACTCCGGAGCGGTATAGAAAGGGGGATCATCGCTATCGGAATCAGCAATCTCGTCACTCGTTCTCGTCGCGGCTGCGGGCTGGCTGTTGTCTGGCGTTGTGGTGTGCAGAGAACGCAACATGTCCACACGCGGATGTGATGCCTCGTCCTGCCTTGCTTGGCCGAAGACGATGCCCCGAACGGGGTTCCATAGTCTGGCGTAGGAAGAAGGGTACATTTTTGATTTGGAGTGTCTGTGGGTCGTCGATTCCGTCAGTGAACAGCCACGGGCGACATGGGATTAGAGAGAGGAATGTACGCACATTTGAGCCAGCGCCGACCTTGGCAAGGATCGAGACTTGTGTAGAATAGAACTGCTGCGTCTAGGGAGGCTCATCACCGCTGCTCGCGGGTACATCTGAAAGGGGAGTGCAGCGCCATATTTGCCACCAGGCATTGGCGCGACAAGTGAAGAACGGATATTCTTCAGGCAGACGCGTCAAGGGTGACGGATGGGTTCAATTACAGTAAGCTATTTGGGTGATGCGCGAATAGCTGGCGGTAATGAGAGCTGGAGCTCCAGAGCGAAGCGGCTTAGTCATTCACCGCTTCCTCGCGAAGTCACCTGACATGGGCTTTTACGCTCACCCCTCCAGCCCAGGTGCACGACGTCTATCATCTCGAGCATCGACGTTTTGGCGGCCGGCAAGAACCTTCGTAGGGTATATTGAAACGACCATCAATTTGTTTGACGAATTTAATCCCTGCGTAACGTCTCCACGAAAATTACAGACGAAAACAAGTCAGAAAAATCATCGTATTCGAAGATTCAAGCGGCAAAATGGCGTCGCAACTGCTCCCTCTGGGTATGTCTGCAAACCCATAGGTTCAGATCATCGTAGCTGACGAACGTAGAACTTATTGACAAGTGTGTTGGATCGAGAATATGGGTTGTTATGAAGGGTGACAAAGGTTCGTTCAGCCATTTTGGACTCAAATGAACCCGATCTGCTGACTCGAAGGGACGGTAGAATTCAGCGGCACTCTCCTTGGTTTCGATGACTACGTCAGTAAGTTTGCCTCAGAAGTCGAGCTACCACCTGACTGGAAACAACTAACGAAAAAAAACAGACATGGTGTTGGAGGATGTGACAGAATTGTATGTGGCCGGTTTGACGAGATTGCATACCCCTGCTAACCACTGGCCAGCGATTACTCCGGAAACCACACAAAGCTTCCCAAGATCCTACTGAACGGCAACAACATCTGCATGGTATTTATCTTTCTAGTCGATTTGAGTTTGAGAGAGAAGAGAGACACTAATGTTGAGCAGCTCATTCCTGGAGGAGAGGGTCCGGTAACCGCATGAACAAGGTTGGGCAGGAAACGAATTTGAGCAAGGGCAGCTGCTCCTCAAGATCGCATACATACTAGGTTCACCATTTGAAAACCTAGAGTACTGCATGGGGAGATCATCAGAATGATACGAGCAAACACGTCATGAAAGCTGGAAGAGTTGACGGCCCAAGGGGTAATCACGGCAGAGGGCCTCGGCGGGCTTGACATACACATCAAACGTGTCACGTAGAGAGCCTTTCAAAACATCGCGTAATTGACGACGTAATGCGCAATGATCAACTTTTTCTAATCCGAGGCCTTTCTCGGCTCGGAACACGAAAACCAAATTGACGATTCCCCATGCCAACCTTCGGTATCAGACCGTTAATTCCGTAATGAACCTTATCCGCCTAACGCCCAGAGGAAAATCCCACGCGAGATGTAATCCATTGTCTCCAGTTGTCCGCTTACTGGCCCTGTTGATTCGAGCGGCCGGCCTCGACCATGCGGCGAAGCTCAAACTCGCGAGTGAACTCGCGACTGAGGTGTGAGAGGTCCTGCATCAGCTTCTTGATGACCTGCACCAAGGCCTCCTTGGCTGTGATTGTGCCATCTGTCTGGACTCGAATGAACATCTCGGGGACGTTTGGATGCGCGACTGGGACGAGGGTTCAGTATGTGTTGACGCTGGTTCAGGAGAAATTGTGCCTTACTCTTGTAGCCCGCCATCAGGACGTTCTTGTGCATCTTCAGGTGCTCGGACAAGAGGTTGCCGAGGGTATGGTCCTCTTTCTTGATGACGAAGTCGGAGGTGTTGGACATTCCTGTGAAGCATTGAGCTCAGCCGGACGACTGGAGGTGGCGAAAAAGCGGGAAACGTACCGGAAAAGACATTCTCCTCGATCTTCTTCTCGCCATCGCCGAGCAGGAAGAGCTCGAAACTTTGAATGGGTTAGCTTCAGTAGCCCACGTGTCTTTTCTTCCAACCAAAGAAACTCGCACGTCGAAGGAATGATCTCAGCTCGAGGAGGCATGATGTGGATTAGGGGTGTAAAAAGAGTGATCCTGGAGTCTTGATATGCCTCGGAAAGTAGAGGTGTGGTAGACTGTGTGTGGGAGAGTAAGGAGATTTCTGGGGGCCAGAAATAGAGAGACGAAGATACAATTCCATGTTTTGTAAAGGGACCTCTGGCAGAAGCAGGTAAGGAAGCCAGGAAAAGATCACGGCCACCTCGAGGGTAGCCTGAAGGGGATCTTGACAATGTGAAGCCGTCTCAAAACTGTTCTCTGACCAGCTGTGCCACCGCTCCCATTCTCACGAGAACAAAGGGACGTATTTGTCTTACCGATCAGGCGCGTTCATCTTGTTGATTCGGAATGGTGAACAGGAGGGTGAAGTAGATGGTGATGGGACTCTTAGGATAAAGGTGAAGACAATGCGCGGTCAGAAATTATTGAGCGCAGAATACCCAGGTGATACTGAAAAGCGGTCAGCTGATCGTTGTTTCGTTAGATAAAATTCAATACCTACCTTTTGCTTGGTTTTATGATGAAATTTGAGACTTCACCTGAGAGCATGAGAGATGATGGTGAGTGAGTTGGACTTGGTTGAGCTCAGGCTCCTTCTCAGTAAGGGTGGCAGGCTGAAGGCAGGGTGGGTCCTCATTATCGAGGATTTGGGCTGCGCCACGGATGCATAATGTGGCGGTGCATACCGCTCCCACCTTCCACTGCATCCAGATGATGAGGAGTCTCACAGCTTGCCATCAAAATTGCCGGCACATGGGATATTTCCAGCTTCATCATCTTTACATGTTCTCAGACTTTGGCTCATGAAATTGAAGTATAAGTTATTTCGAACAAACCACTGCTACATATACACATACAGAACTATAAACGTGGCGATGAGCCTCTTGTTCTTCAGTCTATGTACAAGCTCATGCTCATTGACGACCGACTGATGCTGTCCAAATCCCTTGAAGAACCCGCTGCAATCCATGCAATGATTACCCAAAGCTTTTCAGACAGCACTGAATGACGATTAAAAATGCAGTCGAATGCGTTTCCGCTAGACGCGTGTGCCAACTCACTTCCCCCTGCGGTCGCAGTATCCTGGAGGTTTTCCACCTTCAGAGCCACCAGCCCAGCTGTAGACAGTCAGGGTTGTGGTATAAGCCATGGCAATGAAGCCGAAGATGCAGAGTATGATGTCGGAAATCTTCCAGAGCCTGTTTCTGGCAACAGCCTTGTAGTGAAGCAGGGGCTATTCAAAGGTTAGCAATCATTCCGAATTAGCAGATCCAAATCCACGGCTGTACTCACCGGGTAGATGTAGACAAGCGGAATGCAAGCAAAGTTGCCGACAAGAGCAACAAACTTATCAAGATCATCTGCACCACCCCACGCGATGACGGCGCAAAGAATCACAAAGAAAAAGCGATAGAGGTTCTTCTGCCACTTGATATAGGGGTTGTACTTTCCGCTCTTGGTGAACAGAGCATTTTCGGTAATCTTGATAGCGGGGAAAAGCTGCAAAGGAATTGACAGCATGATGGCGACAGAATAAAGGAACTGAACACTGTTGACCGCCTTATTGTCTTGGGGCATGTTGAGGAGCACCACGGTCTCTGTCTTGGATCCGTAGGCGGCATATGAGATGGCGCCCATGCCGATGAAGATGACCGAGATGATGATCATGACCGCCAACATGACACGAGGAAATTTGCTGGGGTTCTTCATCGACTCCTGAATAGGAATGATAAGGCCGATTCCTTCAAACGTAAAGATTGCGGTGCCTATGAACAAGGTCCAGTCGTTGCGATTGAACTGAATGATATCCGCAATGCCGTTGGTGCTCAAGGTAAGGATATCGTAGTACAGCAAGTAGGTCAGGCCAAGTAGGATAAATGCGTCGGCGATCAGAGCAGTGAAACTCAGCTTCTCGATATCTCGCAACAGTGAGAAGGGTAGGAAGACGAGAACTTGCAAGAGGATCAACCACTTGACAGCGATGTTGGATTTGCAGTCCGATACCGCTAGAATAACGGCCTGCAGATTTTCTGACGTAAAAACCATGTACGCCGCCACAAATCCAATCTGACTTATAACGATAGATGAGAGAATAGTTGCCCTCATCCATTTGCCATAAAGAATGCCGCCAAGATCACCAAAAGATCCGTCGACCTTGAGGCGAGTCGTAACCAAGAGAACGAAGCAGTAGTAGCTTAGTGCCGCAACGCCAAGCAAGACGGCATTGCTGAACACCATGCCACCGTTCAGATAGGCACGAGGCAAGAAGAGGACTCCGGTGCCAACAAAAGACTTGAGTAGAAGCAGCGCAGCACTCATGGGACTATTCTTTCCACTTCCGCCACGCTGTTTGCGTCTCCTTCTGTGACGCGATGGCGTCAACAGTGCGCTATCTTCCATAGGTTCTCTGTCGTCTTCGCTGTCCTCGTCGCTTTCGTACATATCCTCGCCTGAGGAGAAGTATTCGCCGGGTCTAAGGGCTTCGTCGTCTTCCTCCAACTCTTCACCTGCGAAATGACCGTAGATGGAGAGGAATTCGAGGAAGCTGGAGGTCAGCAGCCGAGGCTGAGAAGCTTCGCTAGCCTCGCCGCGCTCACCACCATCTCTGGCCGTGGAGGGACTTCTAGCTGCTCTGCGAAGATAGTTGCGGCGGAAACCTCCCGGGACCTTGATTGTGTTGATATCAAAAATGTCGGTCTCGGGGTCCGGACGCGAGACGCTGAAGCTCTTGCTGCGCTGCATCTTGTTGCGGGCTTCTGCCTCTTCGGTCCACTTGTAAATGCCCCGAGTCACGTCTCCGCCTTGCAGCCGCAAACTCGAAAATTCGTCCTCATTCAGTCCAGTTTCGCCATCGGCGTCCACGGTCTGCTTGCCTTTCACACCATCACGCATGCTAGACTCCTCTGAAGCAGCGTCGGTAGGCTGGACCAGATGCCTCTTGACAATCTCGGGGTCCTCGTAGGCACCCGCACCGGCGTTCCGTGAGCGGGAGTCGAAAGATCCATAGGTTGTCATGGGCGTGCTCGAGAGCTGAGCGCCGGCAGCAGCAGGGGAGAGAGGTCGAGCTGGAGGAGTGGCAGAGCGCACAGGTGGTGTGCCATGCCTCGGTGGAGAGGCTCCGAGAGAGTTGGACAAGGCCGCAGCCAGAGCCGAGACGCCGGGACCTTGAACACTTGAAGGAGCGGCTCCAGCAAGGGGAGCGAGGCTGGCCGTCTCGCTGCCGTCGCCTAGCCTACTTGAGCTTCCGACGAAGCGACCGGTCTGGGGAGTGCCATATTGCTGGGACGGTACGGGCGATGCCAGTCTAGCGGTGGCGTCTGCTCGGGGTAGAGAGCCGAATTGTCGTGACGGGGAGTCAGCCCTAGGAATGCTGAGCGGATCCCTCGAAGGAGATGCCATGATTTTGCTTGATGAATCCGGTCGGGGACTGTCGAACGCCGGTATTCGATATATCGAGGAGGATCCAACCACTGCGTTGCAGGTTCCGAACTGGATCAACAACAGACAACAAAGTTAGCGACGTGCCATGGGTAGGAGAAGATGAGACGGAACCAGGGGACAAGCAGGAGCTAGGTGATGGGAAAGAGGTAGACTCGGTTCAAGTACGGGGAGAGTTTACCTGGACTCAGTCGTAAGACAGCTGACGAGATCAATTGCAGCGCACGGCTTGGGGGATGTGCGTTCGAAGCTGTTGCTACTAGGAACCCGTGATAAGGACGCCGCTTCTATGCGGGTCGGGTGACCTAATCTGGCAGGTCTGGAGAGTTTGTGGCTCACACAGATAGCGTCGGGTAGGTAAGGTAGTTCTACCTGCCTGCAAATCGATGAGGTACCTGGCGCTACCTGCTTGCTGCCTACCACTACCCAGGTACCCAATGGAAGGGCCTGTGGCGGGATGTGGTGTGTGCTGTGAGCAGCGCTGCCGAAACCCGTCGGGCTATGACAACGGACGGGACAGCCCAGGAGCTCTCTCGGGTTGCTCGCTCCATCCGCCATGCTGACCATGCCTCGCCCTGAAGGCATCATTGTGCCTGTGTTACCCGCTACGCTGCCCCAGGTGAGGGCGTGTCTCAGACATGGTTTGCCAGGCCTCCCAGGTTCCAGCGCTTGGTAACGGTACTCTTGAATCATCACATCGTTGGCCTTCCATGTCACGACTCACAGCAGCTTGTAAGCCTCTTCAGCCACCATACTGGAAGAGAAGATGCACTTTCATCACTTAAGTACCTACATCGCCGCAGCGAACTTCGGGTTCCCTACGACAGGGCGCCAAGGCCATTTCAACATTATCACACTGTATCTATTCATGTCTTCATCTCAGCGCTCATACTTTACTTTCCTTTTATGTATTCGGGTGAGCTCTTTGACCGGGAACTGCATATTCCACAGAACGCCAGGACCTGTTCTATTAAGCCCCCGGACCGGACCGGCTCGTATTGTCCGGCAGTCGCACGTCTGATTCAGCGCAGCAAAACAGCACAGCAAAAAATCTTCAGGACAGGTGGCTTTTCCATGATCGGCCATCCTCCGATCATCTCGAGACCTTTCAAACGCTTCAAAATGGATACGACTCCCAGTTTTCACTACAAATCAGCCGAGTATTTCGTCTTGCTTGCCAGCGCACACTACCAAAAAGCCAAGGTTCCTATCGGATCTTACCAGCTTAGGTAAGGCACAGGTCGACCGCCACACTAAGCGAAGGGTTCTCATTGGCTGCATGCACCTCCCGCCTCACTTGCTCGTCTTGCTCCTCCTGCTCCGACGGTGCAGTGAGAGACAGAGAGTGGGGGGCTAGCGCGCTCATCCTGGCGTGGGCTGCGTGCGATTTGGAGCCCCACCACGGGTGCTCTTCAGCGGCTCTCCACCTCCGCTCCATTCCAGTGGCCAGAACTTGAGAGTCTCGTCGATTGAGCCCGCGCATGTAGCGGCAACTGAGGCCCTGGGGGTTGGTTATCGCTGATTTCGCATCCCGTGCACCTGCACCCTTCACCCTTCACCTCCGACATTGAAAGCCCATTATCGAGTCATGAAGCAGAGATACTCGACACTCCCAAGCTGGCTGATAAGCGGCAAAGCAAGGCCACTCTGGTGACTGCTCACGGTACTCTGTACCAGCGGCCAATCCGGCCTATCCCATTGAAATCTCCGGCTTCCGGCTTGCGGCTTGCCGCTGTCATGCGCCTGAGTCAACACACTGTCTACTATGGGACCCTATGGTACACTATGGTACTATGTTCTATTTCGAAGGACGAACCCTGCCACGCCAGCATCGGATGGAATGTCGAGCCAGATGGCTGGCAGATGCCAGGCATTTGACACTTGACGCTATTCTCGTTGGCCAGTGATGCCCATCTGTGGCATGGAAGCTCACTCAGGTTTCGCGGGGGTTGGATGGGACAACCCGGCCAACGTACCCAACCCATACCAAGGTGCTACCTACCCAAAACCACTACCCAAAACCAACGAAATTGCATCTCGATTCTGCGGACTACCTGACTGCGTATCCGTACGGATACCACCTCCTCGCAATCCTTGGACAAAACGCTGTGCACAACCCGCAGTGCCACCACAGTGACCGCTTGTCACGTATTGGCGAACGCTCCGATCTGACCTCCGCTGCTGCATGACGTCGTTTCGTCTTCCTTCTTCGGCCTCTTGGTCTGCATCTCGCTGCCTCTCCCAGACTTTGATGCTTGGTTGTGTGAGTGGATCACCAACAAACACGGTTCGGCCGGCTGGAGCATATCGCAGCTTTCCAATCGGCACGCGGGGTATCGGAGAGGCTTGCATTGGATCGCCCCAGACATCCCTGGCTCGCAGAACGGTAAACCCTGAAAACGAGACGACAAGAAAGACGCGAGACATGCACCGCCGGGCCAGTTGGATGCCTGTGCGGCCCGCCGTCCTAGCCAGGCGATTCTCTTACTGGTCGCCGTCACCACCGCCGCAAGCCATCGTTCATCTACACTTGGACGCACTGGGGGATTGATTTGCCAGCCCAGTCCGACATTGCACACTGGTGCAATTGAGGGCGGGGACTTATATACTACACGCTCCCACACCGTTGTTGTTGGCCGAAGACAACCATCCCATCTCCGTCACTCAAGTTCGTCGAATCTTCTCGGCTCTCCATTGTGGTTCGACCCCGAGCAAAACGATCGCGGAGGCGGCGCATTTCCGTCCCCCTTTTTCCGGGAAGAGTTGCGGGTTAGCCTGCTGATTGCGAGTAACAACCCCCCCTCCCCTTTTCCGACCTTCACCATGGGCGGCGACGACAGACGACCGAGTCTCTCCAGCATGGAGCAGATTAGCACCAAGGCCAAATTGGGTGCGGTTTCGGGCGTCTATATCCCTGTCTGCCTCAACATCTTCAGCATTCTCATGTTCCTCCGTTTTGGTTGGATCCTCGGTCAAGTTGGACTTCTGGGCATGCTTGGTTCGTCAGCTAATAAAACAGACACTCTCATTCGTCTCAGCCCACACTAACAAAGCCACAGGACTACTGGTTACGGCTTACCTTGTAGACTTTTTGACAACTCTCTCTCTATCTGCTATAGCTTCAAATGGCGAAGTCAAGGGCGGAGGCGCCTACTACGTAATCTCGAGGTCTCTCGGCCCCGAGTTTGGCGGTTCCATCGGGATGCTCTTCTATCTCGCTCAGGTCCTCAATACCGCGCTCAACGTTGTTGGTCTAATTGACTGCATAAAGTTGAACGTCGGAGAATCTTTCCCCCAAGGCTACTGGACTGTCTACATGCTCCAAACCTTGGCTTTGCTGCTATGTGCTGGATTGTGCTTGGCCGGGAGCGGAATATTTGCCAAAGCCAGCAATGCGCTGCTTGTCATTTTGAGTCTCGCAATTATAAGCATTCCCATATCTGCCGCGTTGAAGTCTCCTTTTCGAGATAATGGACTTGGCGTGCGCTTCACCGGCTTTAGCATCGAAACACTGGTGGACAACTTTGCTCCCCATACAAAAGCCGACTCGTACAAGGGATTTGAAACTTTTCGAGAAGTCTTTGCCATCCTGTTTCCTGCCACGTCGGGAATCTTTGCTGGAGCTTCAATGTCTGGGGACTTGGTAAATCCCAGCAAAGACATCCCGAAAGGGACTCTCTGGGCGATGATGACCACCTTCATTGCATACCTGGTCGTAGTCTTCTCCATGGCTTCCACCACAACGCATGCTTCATTTATCAACAACACCAACATTATCTCGGTCACAAGCTTGTCTCCGCCTCTGATCCTCGCCGGAGAGTGCGCCGTCACCTTCTTCTCCGCTGTGATGGGACTTATTGGTGCTGCCAAGCTCATGCAGGCCCTGGCGAGGGATAAGTTGCTTCCTGGTCTTCTGCCATTTTCACGAGGGACGAAGAGGGCCGATGAACCAATTCAAGCCATTATTCTCACATACGCACTTGCCCAGATTGCCATGTTTGCCAATCTGAACCAGATCGCGACTTTGATATCCATGGGCTACCAGGTGAGCACCCGCCTACTCAGTCCAGATAAGTGAGTGTTGGACTGACACAGAGTAGATGACGTTCTTCGTCATGAATCTGGCATGTTTTCTACTCAAGATAGGGTCGGCTCCCAACTTCCGGCCTGCATTCAAGTTCTTCAGCTGGGAAACAGCTTTCGCCGGTAGCATCATGTCTGCAGCGGCCATGTTCTTCATCGACCAGACTTATGCGGCTACTGCAGTCTGCTTACTCGTCTTCCTTTTCTCCCTGATCCACTATCTCAGTCCGCCGAAGCGATGGGGCGATGTCTCGCAGAACCTCATTTACCACCAAGTGAGGAAGTATTTGTTGCGACTACGGCCTGAGCATATTAAATTCTGGAGACCCCAAATCATTTTACTCATCAACAATCCTAGGAGTCAAACTAGGTTGATTCAATTCTGCAATTCTGTAAAGAAAGGGGGTCTCTATATTCTTGGCCACGTCATTGTGACCGACGATTTTAGTAGCGGTGTTCATGAGGCAAGGCTCCAACAGGCGGCATGGACAAAGTACATCTCGGAGTTTTCCCGGATCAAGGCTTTTGTGCAGCTGACGATGTCCCCGACCATCACCTGGGGTATTCGAAACTTGATTTTGTCAGCCGGGCTGGGGGGTATGCGTCCAAACATCGCCGTGATGGGCTTTTACAACATGGACGAGCTCAGAGATTCTCGCCCTTCTTTCCAAGTTCCGAAAGCTCCTAGCTCGTCAAATACGAACGCCCGCCCTCAGGCAAAAGCCAAAGAAAGGAACCCCCGCAGAAGACGAGGCGACACATCCGCACGCCTGATGGAAGGTATTCTGCCTACAGATGTGATGAAGACAGAAGGGATGATGAGTGTGACAAATTACATGACCATGTTGGAGGATCTCGCTTTGAGGTACAAACTCAATGTTGCGATTGGCAAAGGCTTCGAAAATCTGGAAACGCCGCGCAAGGACAAGGCCAACATCAAGAGATATCTCGACCTCTGGCCGATACAGATGTCAGCAGAAGTTTTGTCAGATGGGAAAAGCGTCTTGACAACCAACTTCGACACATGTGAGGCAGATTTGTTCCTCAATCAGGATTTCACTAACACATCTGCAGATACTTTGATTCTCCAACTCGGCTACATCCTCTACAGCGTGCCGACATGGCACAAACTCTACGATATTCGCGTACTGGTGTTTGTGGAGTACGAGAGTGAAGTGGAAGAAGAGCGGGCGCGTGTCAAGGCATTGCTAGACAAGTTGAGGATCGAGGCCGAAGTCATCGTATTCTGGCTTGCTTCCGGGCAGCTGAACACCTATGAGTTGATTATTAACGGCCAAAGCAACGACCTCGAGTCTCAGATCATGGTTCACGATATACTGAAAGATGAAGAGTGGTGGAATGACCTCCAGAGATTTCGAGGTCGCGAGCCAAATTTGAACTCGACCGAAGAGCTCACATCTTTTGCGAACATCATCGAGTCGACGGCAGGACGGCCTGGTGTATTTAACCCCCATGTGTCGCTCGACGACATTGAAAGTGGACGGCGACCAAGTTTGGTGCACTTTGGGGAATTGCCGAAGAAGCCGACGGTTTCGAAGCTGTCCCGCCTTGGCGTCAGTGTTGGAATTCACACGTCTCACCTGGGAGATGAGGTCTTCGAAGACGACTCTGGCTCCGACGGTGAGATGAGTGGTCAAGAACAGCAGCCATCGTGCCTTGATTCCGATTCCGATTTCGAACCCGGCAGCAGTGATTATAGCGAGGACGAAACGCCAGACGCGGACGCCCCTAGACGACCGTTGTTACTTGGGCGAGGGCGAGAGCGAGGGCGAAGCCGAAGCCAGAGCGATGACCTGCTAACAAGCCCGTCTAAACAAAAAAGAAGCAAATCGAACAAAAGCGCTGCACCGGCAGCATCCTATGGCACGATGATTTCACAAGCTCGGTCTGAAGGGCAGGCGGGCCCAAGCCATGTGGGCAGAATTGAAAACGTGTCGGCACCCCCAACTCCATTAGAACGACCTGTGCTCGATCGCAAAATATCTGCTCGTTCCATGGGTGGATTCAGGTCAGCGGGCATCAATACTTACGATGCGACTTCGGGAAGCGTATCTGGAATGGCGACCCCAGCAAGGCCGACCCTCTCTCGACAATCATCAGCAGTGCGATTCTCAAGTCGCCCAATGCCAGAAACGAGAACAGACGTGGAGGGCACGTCGGGTCCAACAATCATGTTTGCAGACACCACCGAGGAAGAGACGCCGCGTGCGGAACAACCCGCATTCTCAAGCCAGTCCTCTGCTGGACGGTTTTCCAGTCGGCCAGTGCCCGAGATGACGGTGACGGCGGCTGAAGAGTTTGAGCCAAACATTACGTTTGCGGAACCCTCTTGCAGATCGCGCAAAGCTTCCGTCGCGTCTACTGCCGATCTGGGTGACGTCCACATGAACATGGCGGAGCTTGTGGGACGCTACAGATTAGACTCGAGAGCTGATGGAGACGGGCTCGGCTCGCCTTATTCAACACAAGGCATCTCGCTCTCGTTTAACGATTTGCCATCGCGGGCGCAACATGTCATCCTCAATGAGCTGATGCGACAAAACAGCAAAGATACTGCCGTCATGTTCACCACGTTGCCCGTGCCCACCGAAGGAACTTGCCAGGATGAGCTGGCGAGCGTACAGTATCTATCGGACGTTGAGGTCCTCTGCCACGAGCTCCCTCCCGTCATGTTGGTCCTGAGTAATAACATGACGGTCACGGTTGGGCTATAGTCTATAGTCAGAGTGAGAGTGGGGCAATGTCTCAAAACCTGCGAGGGAGAATATGATAAGGTCAAAAACTACGGATACGCGGGGGGGTTATTCATACTTTGGCGTTGTTTTTTTGAGTGTCGGGGATCATCATCCGGACAAAGGAATGGGGTGGTAAACTCTTTCGGCCTGGCCACATTCCTCGGTGTCTTTGGCTGAAATGACAAGCTATTCAACGAAGCATTCTTTGTCTGCCAGTGGCCGGACCATGATGGGCTTTCGCCGGCAACCTTTACAAAGAGGTTCCCTCGACGGTGCATAAGCATCTTGAACTCTAGCCATCCAGGTTTTTTTTCTAACCTTGCCAAGAGGAGCCTTTTCCCCTGAGTCTCTTTGAAGCCATGGACATTAAACACGCGGCCCCGCCGGCAATGCCCTCCTCATGGACAATCCCGCAGACAGTCAATATGAATGATCATGGAAGGAAATCGACTTGGACCACGCCATTGTCGCCATATCTGAGGGGCCTCAAGATAAAAAACCTCATGACGTCCCCCAAATCACCAAAGTCACCAAAGTCACCTAAACCCCCAAAGTCGCCGAGGTTCCCTCTGTCGCCCACATCACCCAGAAATCTACCGCCGAAGCTTCTGGACGAGGACTCGTCTTTTCGAATTATACATACGCCCGACAGGCCAGACCGGCCAATTTCAAGGAGGGCCATTCCGAATGACGAGCAGTGCATGGAATTCCTCATGTCGCTGCAGAGACAGGAGGAACACAAAAGGGGAGGCGTCAAGACTGGCCTCAAGATGTGGCCGTACCCAGAGGAGCAGGAGGCCGAGGACCGCAGGTATCTCCGGAGCGTGAGGGTTGAGAGCGTGCACTTGGAAGAAGCCCGCCTGGCAAGGACCAACTCTTCTGGCCCGGCGAGGGTCGTGGAAGTAGGCAGAAGCTCGACCAAGTCGACAACAGCATCACGGCGGTCATACCACACAAGAACATCCAGTGTCAGCGATGCAGAGGATGTCGACGACGAGCCCCGGCGCAGACCTAAAATGGCCGTCAACGATCCCCCCCTCTCTCCACCGCCTACCCTATCCCGCAGTCAATCACGGCTAAGCTTTTACACCCCGAAAGCAAACACATCCCGCTGGTCCGATGACAGCATTGAATCCCTCTTCTCGTCGAGAGACATCGACTCGCCGTGCCCCCAGCGAGTTACTGTCCGCTCATCTTCCGAAGCGCTGTCTCCCACGGTATTTGGGGACGAGTCGGTCGGCTCCTCTTCGCCTTCTCTCCTGACACCAGTGAAAGACCGGCCAGCGACGCCGTTCACAGACCCCCGCCTCCGGGCAACGTCCGATCCGATGACCCCTCCACCGTCAGATCACATCGTTCACCAGATGAACATAAGTCCAGAGCCGGTACCGAGAAAATACTCGTGGCGATCGTCCAAGGACACCATTCTTAATACGGGGGCCCCAATATCAAGATTTCAGTCGTGGCTACCAGAGGCGCGGCCGGAAGAGGTGACTGAGAATGACAAGCAGCAGCAACAGCAGTCTGAGCCGGACGTCTATGGCGACTGGGCGGACTATTACTTTGAGGATGGCAATTTCTGGGACGACTATTCGGATGGTGATGACGAAGGAGACGAGACAAAAGTAGAGGAAGAGGAGGATTCTCTCGCCGTGGAGAAGGGGGAGCAAGATTTTGGCGAGAAGGAGCGAGAAAAAGAAAACAGTGAGAAAGGCCAAAAGGACCGCCTTCGAGTCGATGACGAGCAGGTTTATCCGCGCTACGAGAGTTTCATTAAGGATTACAAGAACAACGTCATGAATACAACGGTTATGCAGGAGTGAATACCTTTTCCAGGTTATTTTCGGTTTGGCTTCGGGGAGTTTTACGGACGGGACGATATCCCATTGCCAGGGGTTTGGGACACTGTAGCAGTATTGTACGACCTTGAGGTCTTAGTCGCGATTACCCACTCGTTATTTTGAAAACAGAGAGCGTTGATGATTTGTTATCTCGTTGGGTGTCGATGATATTTGCTTACAGTGCCATCGATCTATAATGATCTTCACGTTACATTACATCGCTCGACTGGACTGACAACCTGGGAAAAAACCTGATTAAACTACCTAAGTAGGACTAAGCGTAAAAACCCCCCATGCGGAATAACTGAGGCCGGTCGTCGAATAGTCGTTGGTAAGATGATAATTACATCGCTCAACTTCCGGTAAGTACAATGTAAGGCGAGGCGAATTTGGCCAATACTCAATGCTGATATCCTTCCAACTAAACCGACAGCCATCTTTCTTGCTCGCTCGCTCCATAAACCCCAATCTCGATTACTCCGACGACGGACGAAACCAAACAAAGGTAACAAAGTCTGCTTCGGTCATGTCGACAACCTCGAAAAAGATTTTTATTTTTATTTTATTACTTGGATTGAGGACGATGGGGCTTGTCGGGGTCCTTCCAGTCGTCGGGGCGTTCGATGCCAGGGCGGCACGCCACCCTGCTCATGTCGTGCCAGTGCCTAGTCGGGATGCACTGTCCAGGCGGGATGCCGCCCTTCCTGCGCGCCTCTTCGCAGAACCTCCAGTGCTCGAGGGCCGTCTTGCACATGACGAGCGCGGGATTCCGGCAGCACTTGCGGCGCATGAGCTCCCAGTACTTGGCGTTGGCGTTGGCGTGGTCGACGAGGCAGAGGAGGGCGACGAGGAGGATGACGAGGGGGGGAATTTTGACGTTCATCTTGACGGCTTGGTTTGTGGTGTTTTGTGACGGTGGTGTTGGTTGGTTTCTTTTCTTTCCGTTTCTTCGTTCTGGGGGGTCGGGGGCTGGATGGTTGGTTTGTTCAGGACTGAGGTATTGTTTGGTTTGATCTCGCAATGAATTGCTTTGTGAACCGATAAATCAGAGCTATTTCCAGTAGATGAAGAGTCAAAGAAGGAGAACTAGGTGGTTCCTTATACGCACAGGAGACGCCTTCGGAGATAGATCCAGAAGCTGTGTCTGGTACCTATCTTAGGTAGGCCAAGGTAGGCGAGACCTATGGATATGGAGAAGTGGTTCTTCAACCTTGAGAGCACCAACACAGAGAATGAGACCATCCAGGAATCCCGCATGGCAAGAATTCGGACCTCTGTGGTTGAGGCTTCTTCGCCACTGACGGTGTAAGTCCAAGTCAGGCACTGGAGAGTATATTCACTCCGTCCACGAACATCCACGAGAGAAAGAAGACAGATCATTCATCCGTGGAAATATTTATGCTGGGACTGACCAGACACTCCACTAGACAAACTGACATTTGGTCCATTACCCCAGGTTTCCAGATACTGACGATGGCTTCAGGCATTCAACAAGCTTGGCTTCGGTGTATCCAGCTCGGTATGGCCCAAGCTCCAAGCTCACTCCCCCCAAAAAGGCTTCAACTGGCACCTGGTTTACCCTTCCAACTTCCTCCCACAAACTTCGTCTCATCTACAAATTCCCTCACGCCGTCTAGTCATCGTCCCCTCCATGACGCGCAATGCAGTGAGTCAGCGGCCGGAGAAAACACAGAAAGTAAGCGTTGCACCGCGGCACAACGGGTAAGGTAGATGCCTCGCCTACCTCCCAGCCTCTTCCGCCGCGCCCACGCCATCTCCCCACACGCCGTCGCCCTTCTACCGGCATGCCGCGACATCCCCTCCGCGGTGACCGAGCTCCGCTGGATCAGGTCGCACGTCGCCAGCAACCCTGCGTCGGCGGCGGCCACCACCAACGGTAGGCGATCGCCATCAAAGGTGCTGTCCGGGCAGGATGAGGAAGCCCGCGTCGCACGCCTCTGCGCAAAACGCGGCCGCGGCGTGCCGCTGCAGTACGTCCTCGGCTCCCAGCCGTTCGGAGCGCTCGACATCAAATGCCGGCCCGGCGTGCTCGCCCCGCGCGCCGAGACGGAGGCGTATGCGCTGCACCTGACCGAGATGATCACGCGTGGCCGTCTGCCGGGGTTTGAGAGCAGAGAGCTGCGGGTCGTGGACTTTTGTACAGGCACTGGGTGCATTGCGCTTTCGCTGTACGAGCGTCTTACACCATGGGCGAAGAAGCTTAGTATCACGGGCGTCGACGTATCGCCCGTCGCCGTCAACCTCTCGCGAGAGAACTTGCGGCGCAACGTGGCTGCCGGTTGCTTGATTCCACCTGCTCTTGGCAAGGAGGTGTCCTTCCGAAAAGCAGACGTCTTTCAGGAGACTGATATGCAGTCGCTTCAACGGTGCGACGTGCTAGTGTCCAACCCGCCGTACATATCACGCGAGGTGTGGACGTATGGCCAGGGCCAGATGGGCTACTCAGTTCGAAAGTACGAGCCGAAGCTCGCCCTGGTACCGGGGGATACGGCACCGGCGTATGATGGATGTGACCATGCCGACGTCTTTTACGCGAGGCTGCTGGATATAGGAAGCCGGCTACGGCCACGAGTACTACTATTCGAGGTGGGAGACGAGGAGCAGGCTCTTAGGGTGGTGAAACTCGTCAGACGCAACGACTTTACGAGACATGCGTCATGCGAGATCTGGAGGGACTGGCCAGACTTGCCACCCGAAGAGGAGGAAGCAGAATCATTCAATGTAGGTGGGGAGATGATTGCGGTCAAAGGTAGCGGGAATGTACGGTCAGTCCTTATTTGTCTGTGAGACACGGAGTTTCATAGAGCTTAGACATACCTTCGCGTTGATTACACCAATCCACATCAAAAACGTGTCCAGGGCTTTGCACACGTTACAAGGGAGAGAGAGAGAGGTATTATTGATCGCCGCATTCGCAGTCATTGAACAAATTAGGTCAAAATAGTCCTCATCAAGTCAGATTTACCAAAAGAAAAATTGAATAAAAGAAATACTGCCCAGAGGCGGATTCGAACCGCCGTCAACACGGATCGCTGTATAGAAGAACCACAACGTATCATCCTAACCAACTAGACGATCTGGGCCAGTGGTTATTGATAAGGCACCCCGTCGGAAGCAAATCTAAGTAGGGTTGTGGCGTGGGAGACAAGATTTCGTGACTGTCTAGCGCAACACGCTCGCTATTTCCCCCAATTTTCCAGCGACTTTCCAGCGGGCACATCTAGCGAGCACAAGGGTAATAACCACTGGACTTCGATGCGTAGCAAACTCCCCGTTCCTCCAATTCGCCGCTGAAAGAAAGCAAAGCATGTGATCACCAAGGCCTTGGATTTCATTATACAAGGAGGGAATAAGGGGCACAATCATGTATGAAGTTATTTCCCGCGAGGAATTAACGGTGTTTCCTTGCTAATTACAAAGAGACACCATGTCTGTGCTTTCCGACCGGTCAGCTGGACCCTGTGCGCCGCAAAATATCGAGCTCAGACAACTGGGGTCCAGATGGCGCAAACACACATTCCAACCATGAGCTTGATCATCAACGTCGGATGCGCGCGCGAGAGCACAGATCACTTTACACGTGTGTTGCCGGCGGCATTCCTTGGATCCAATGATCCGGACGGTTCCTGAAATGGAACAAAAAAGGGTTTCCCTTGCAAGCCACGCAAAGAACTGCGCGTCTTCGAGCGGCACACGTGCCTTGCCGCCGTGATTCTCTGGAATGGAGTCGGGGCGGCACCGGGAACGGGTCCAGCTGTCTTGACCGGAATGCTTGACGGGTTGATCAACTTCTGCCAATCTTCACGGCGCTTGAGGTTCTTGCGCGTTGGCTTGAATGGAAAAGCGTACGCGTGCAAGAGCTGCTGTGGCATATCCTACCTAGTGGACGAATTCCTTCTTGATTGGTTCGAGAACATTTTCAACTTTTTAAGGCCACGCGGGTGCTGTTGCAGTACGGGTTTTTCGTGGCAATTTGATGTGTGGGTAGCTACTAGATGGCTCAAGAGGTTCTTCTTCAGCTGTGGGAAGTTGGGAACAGACCAAGGTAGGGTGCTAGGATCAAGATTTCGGCTATCTTGTCATGCCGAATCAGGTCGGGGACGCCGTATCTTATCCGGCATCAGCTTCGGGCGGGGTTTACCTTCGGTTGTTTCTCCGAGTCGCGCTCACATCAATGATCAAGTGTTCTCGAGACATGGCATCAAATGAGCACGTTATCAAGCCATCATCGCGAGCCTTGGCGAACCTAAAGTCGGGAAGCTTCATCGACTTGGAAAATGAAGCCAGCAAGCTCCCGCAGTACGACCCGGCTACGTGCCCGGGTGGAGTAATTGATCTCTCCGGCGCCATCAATGGTCTCATGGATGATATGCTGGCGGAGGAGATGAACCAATTTTCCAAGACGTATGACTTTACAAAAGGCACGAGTAGCCCGTATCTCGATTGAAGGTCGGAACTGACAAGATCTGCAGCAACTCGATATGGGGACGTTATGGGACCCAAAGGTGAACACCAAATGTCTTTCTTCCATGATATTCATACTGTTTGCTGATGGCAACTTAATAGAGCTAGCTGGGGCAATGAGCGGGTTCGTCAATCGCTATTTTAGCCCAGCGCGCCCAGTCAGATCTGATGATATACTGGTCACCAACGGTGTGACCTCACTCATTGATATGATGGCATTCGGAATGTGCGATCCAGGCGAGGGTATCATGGTCATCACTCCAACTTACATGATGTTCCCCCACGACTTGTGTGCCAGAGCAGGCGTCAGCCTGATCAAAGTCAACCCTGACCCTATCGAGAGCCAGTTCGACGCGCAATCTGCCCCTGAACTCATCAAAGTGTTGTCCGGAGCATACGCCGCAGCCCTGAAAGACGGCATCATCCCCAAAGCTCTCCTCCTCTGTAACCCAAGCAACCCGTGCGGCCAGACCTACCCACGCACCATCCTCGTCGAGATCGCAAGATTCTGCGGGCAGAAGAACATGCACCTCCTATCCGACGAGATCTACGCCATGTCAACTTTCACCGCAGCGCCGGGTGCAGTTGGACAGGCACTTCCTCCGTTCACCTCCGTGCTGAGTATACGGGACGACCCGCCGCGCGGTGTGTTCGCGGAGAATATCCACTGCATGTACGGCGCCAGCAAAGACTTTGGCTGCGGCGGCCTGCGGCTCGGGTTCCTCGTGACCCGGAATGAGCCACTTTGGCGGTCTTTGAGGAGGCTGGTGCTGTTTACTTGGGTCTCGAATTTCTCGACTGCGTTCTTCACGCACTTCTTGCTGGATGAAGATGCCGTCGGGAGATACTTGACGACATACCGAGAAAGGCTTGCGAAGCAGTACACGGTCACTGAACAGGCTTTGAGGGAGAACGGAATCCCCTTTAGCCCGGCCAATAGTGGAGTGTTCGTTTTCATCAAACTGACAGGTTGGTTGGATCATGTCGAAGACTTGGTCGGATTCGACGGGAGCCGCGAGATGAGACTCTGTCGATATCTTTTGAATGAAGCAGGTGTCTTCCTCAGTCCTGGAGAGGTGGGCTCTTCCCTGAAAGCTCGGCTTATATTCCAACAAGAAGTACTGACGCCCACCCAGCTCTCGCTTTCGACCGTCCCGGGTTGCTTCAGATTGGTATACACTGGCACACGGGAAGCAGTTTTTCTAGCCGTCAGCCGAATAGCAACTGCGCTGGCAGAGCTAAAAAGCCGCCCCAGGTCGCAGTCTTCTTGGTCCACGGTGGGTGGCTACAACACGAAGAGCCTAGATGGGGAGAGACAGGCGGGAAGGAATTCCATGAGGGTATCGCGACGAATATCGCTTGCGCGTTTCATACTCTGCCGCACTGCAGAATAACTCAATAATTTATTTCTTTGCCAAGGAGAGTAGATACTCTGATGTCAATCGATCAGAAGGGCCACATCGGGCAAAATGAAAGAATGGCAAAAGAATTGACCAGCCTGGGGGTCGAACCCAGAATCTCCTGATAACACAACGAGTCGTAGTCAGACGCCTTGCCATTGGGCCAACCGGCCATTGATGAAAATGAGAGCAGAAACTAGCAACTATCAATGCTTAGACCAAGAGTGGGAAGCTCGAACTCCGAGTTCAGAACCTAAAGCCGTATATGTTTCTGGTTTGAAAAAGACAGGATGGATTTTTCTGTATTCTTTCCGTGTTCTCTTTACTGGCAATTCTGGGCGTGTGGCCGACGTGAAGAAGACTTTGGTGTTTGCGAAACAACATTGGTAGCTGTCTCTGTGGGTACCGAATATGCACTAAAGCGATCCACTCAGACGGGCACTTGCTCACTGGTACGACAAGATGATCAATCTTGATCCTTAACGAGAGGGAGCAAATATGGGAGCAGTGTAATTTGAAACCGTCCCTTCGACCAGAAATGAACTACCCGTAGTTATATGGGCAAATATACTCGGTGATGGGCACATTTGCGACCTTTCATGATGTCGTTTCCTGACAAACCGGTCGCTCACTTGCTCGGCTCAAATGGTGAGTTACATGCTTTGCAATGAGATTGACAAGTTGGAAAAAGAGTTCCATTTCGGTTTCTCAGCACCGTTCTGTACCAGATACAGAGGGTCCGAAGGCTAAACTTGACCAGGACCTGTCCATGCTGTCTCGTATTCAGCCTCTCCGGGAACATACATCCTCACCGGCTCAGCAGACCGCAACATCAGACTATACAACCCGGCGTCCCAAGACCTGCCCCCGCGCTACGGCTCAGCCATCAATAATAACAAGACACCGGGGACCACCAAGCCCGCCGTGCCGGAAGGCCGTCTCATCCAGACCTACGCCGCCCACGGCTACGAGGTCCTCGACCTCTCCGTCTCCTCCGACAACGAGCGCTTCGCCTCCGTCGGCGGCGACCGCGCCGTCTTCCTCTGGGACGTCGCCACGGCCAAGACGATCCGCCGCTTCGGCGGAAACGCGCATGGCCACACGGCGCGCGTGAACTGCGTCTCATTCGCGGGTGACGGCGACTCACTCGTCATCTCGGGAGGCTTTGACACAAGCGTGCGCGTGTGGGACGCCAAGTCCAACTCGGCAAAGCCGGTGCAGGTCTTGGACGAGGCCAAGGACGCGATCACGGCGCTCGCGGTGAGGGACGCGGAGGTCATTGCGGGGAGCGTCGATGGGAGGGTGAGAAGCTACGACGTTCGGATGGGACGGTGCGTGACGGATGTCATCGGGGCGAGCGTGACGAGTCTCAGGCTCACGCGGGATGGGAAGGCCATGTTGGTCGGGTCCTTGGACAGCAAGATCCGACTGATGGACCGGGAGAGCGGGACGTGTTTGAAGACGTACGCGGATGCCGGTTGGAGAAACGAAGAGTTGCGCGTGCAGGCCGTCCTCGGCAGCAAGGAAAAGTATGTCATTGCAGGTGATGAGCTTACGGCCGGTACGGGACCTGCAGGCTTGAACGGCGATGGTAAAATATGGGCGTGGGATCTCATGACGGGCAAACTGGTCGCGACGGTCCGAGTGCCATGTCCAGAGGGTTTTGAGCCCAAGAAGAAAATGCTAGGCAAAGATGGCAAGGAAAAGGAGAGGAGCAACGTCATCAGCTGCGTAGCCTGGAGGAACGACGGATGGGGAGATCAATTCTGCGTCGGCGGCACTTCGGGAGTAGCCACTGTCTTTGGTTCACTCTGAAAGCCATTAACGAAGCATCGCTATGATTGGTAGTAGCAATGATGAGGTATCGTCATTCCGGACGTTCATGTATCTAACAAAATCTTCCAAATCATACAGAGTCATGTCCGTCTCTGACCCCGTGGTACTCTACACACGTGGATGTTCCGTAGACGCCTAACACCAATGTACCCAGATGCTTCCCTGGAAATCCCCAATCAGTGCCAACCAAAAATTACACAGAACAGCGATCGTGCTTTGAAACCACATCGTTTGATCAGTCCATGCCGACGTATTTGAACCAATTCGGGCGGCAGTCTTCCTTGTGCAGCCAGGCCTCGCCGTCAGTGAAGCGGCCCGTCACACAGCCCTTGCACTTGTTGGAGTTGGGGCAGTTGAAGAAGGGAATGTGTTGGTACCCAATATCACGAAACCTGGCGCAAAAGTTAGTTTGCTATGCCCTCGCATGAAGCTTGATGAAGCTTGGCAGAACTTACCAGTGGATCCTGGACTTGTCCTCAAAAAGACCCAAAGCAATGCTGTGAACAGGAGCATCGCCCCATCTCTCGTAGTAGAAACCTCCAGCGCGATCCAGATGTTGAAAGTAGTCCTCGTATGCTTGGCTCCGCCAGAAGTCAATATCGGCGATTTCAAAATTGCTCCAGAAGTGACAGGTAGAGTAGCCGTTCGCATCAACGTTGTGCTCGGGACGACCAGCCTTATCTGTGAGCCAGTCCATAGCGTTGTTCTCGTGGAGGTATTCGGGGTGCTGGGCGAGGAACTTCCTGGTCTCGGGCCACAACGTCGGGATGGACTTGGGCGCATCGTACAGGTTGACGGTGAAACCATATGTCTTGTTGTTGTCCTGCATGTATCGGAAGACGTCGTAATCAACGTCGCAAAAGAAGTGAACCTTGGGCTCAACGCGCCAGTAGTACTTGGTGTGCTGCAAGGCCGGGTGCTTGTAGAACATGCCACTGTTCCAGCGGCACATCGAGTGGTACGAAACCTTATCGGCATATTGAATGCCGTCTTCCTTGAGAATCTTGACAGATTCTTCGTACAGGTCTTTGTTGATCCACGAGGGCATCTCCCAGTGCTCTTTGGGGATGAGTTCTACCAAATTTGATCAGCGCCAGAGCTGTGCGAGGGAACGTCGCAAAAGCTTACCGTATCTACACTCAGCCTTGGTGGCCGCTTGAGTCCTCCTCTTGAACTCTTCGCTAAAGGGAACCTCGTTGAAGAATGTCCAAGGGTAGTTGAATTTGTGGTTCCAGGTTCTCTCGAGGTCGGCCATTGACTGGATCATTCCATCCAGCTCCTCGTTTCTCACCAGCGCCAGCAGAGTTGCGTTGATGCGAGCAGAGTCTTCGATGCCAGGGGCATACTTGTCGGAGACATAGGTAAGAACACCTTGAGGTTCGCCGGTAGCTGTGAAGAGACACTAGTGTTAGCTTTCTGTGCGATGGCTTTGCAGCAATTGCAGGCACAACTCACGATCGAGGTTGGGGTCGCGTCCGTTCTCATAGCGCTCAGGCTTCTGGGGTATCGGCCTTTCAGGACCAAAAATCTGATAAAGGAAGAAGCACCAGAGCATCACGGCGGCTAAGGCCAGAGCTCGAACTGGCCGGGCGATCGCCATCTTGGACGATGGATTGGAAGCAAGCTAGCGATCGTGGGAAGGACGCGGGAGTGCGAGATATCTCGAACCGTCAAGCGATGTCAAGTTCGACGTTCGCGCAAATAGTCAACGGCTAGCGGAAAAGCCAGGTCGTCGAAGTCGATCGAGTAGTGGGAATTTCTCGGTCGCGGCTCGTGCCGTCGGTTTTTGAGGGCCGTTCGGTGGTGTGGAAGGGAGGTTTGTTGACCGCTAGGCCAGATTGAAAGTGACGCGTAAAAAATCGGAAAAGGGGCGTCGATGGCAGTTGTCCCAGGCCGTTGGTTGCTGGAGGCTGATGTCACCCCTCGAAATTTGCCAATTAGCGTCTTGCATTGGGAGAACCAAGGACCTATGGGCGCTTTGTCCAGCTGTCTGATCCCTGTAATCCGCGATAAGCAGGAGCAGTACCCCCGCGCCCCTCCATCCAGCATGCTAACTCCACAGCAAATGGCTGTCGCGTGTGCTTGCGACAGACATCTTTACAACGCGTCTCTTCACGATGCTGGTAAATTAGCTCAATGCCGACACATCACCCCCCCTGACTCTCATGACCTGATCTTGAAGTCCTTCGCCAGTGATCTGGCTAACTCGGCACACAATGGCTTTCGCTGCAAAGCTCGGCGCCTTGACTGACGAGCTGGTCGAGGTCATCACATCGACACCGGACAAGGTGGGAGACGGTTCATCCCATCTTGCATTAGCATAGACGATGCAATGCAGCTCGGCCCGTCGCTAACACCAAGGACAGCACATCGGTCTGGAGCGCTACAATCTGTTGCGCGAGTCCTCACATCGTAGTCTCAAATACCACAACTTCCTGCGCACCAATCAGTTCGATGTCAATAATCAGCTGGTTGGCCTGGAGGAGCGATTCAGGATCCACCATCGAGAAGCCTTGGCGGATGCCTTCAAGGAGCGGCTCGATGCGTTGTCGCAAATCCGAACGAAGTGGCATCCCGACATCCTTCATTTCCTACTCGAGCTTGCCGACAAACCAACACAAAAAACGCGACTCAGTGACCTAGAACTCCTCAAAGAACCCGAGAATGAACCCGAGCCGCCGCTTAGATGGGAAGACATCGCGAAAGAGGATGGATGGCACGAGGATGCCGACATATGGAAGTCCATCGACTATAGCGATCACTCGGGCGATGAATATGGCGAGACCAAGTCAGAGATATCAAGTGAATCGGACGAAACATCTCTCTCAACTCTAGATACCTTGGTCTGCAGGAAACCGGAGGACTTTGAGATTGCCTCCTCTGACGAGGTAGCCCTCAAGGTTGTTCAGGATAGCCAGGCTTGGAGGACAGAAGGCAAGAAGACTACGTCTTCAACCAGACCTCACAAGGTCGCTATTACAGAGTTTCAGGCGATGAGAGAGGCCCTCTTCATGCTGCAAGGCCTGCCCACAACATTATTCCAGAAAGACGGCCTTCCCAACCCTGCGTACCAGATATCCAGTCTTGAATGGGATACGTACAAAGCACTCGTGAGCTGTTTCGCAGAGAGTGGACGTCAGATTTCTCAGATACGGACTTTCTCGAAGAGAGCTCAAACGGCGCCTCTCTTCCAGGTTTTCCGTGATAATGTCATTGCCAGTCTGCAGTCATTTGACAAGAGATTGTCCCATGTCGAGGGTAATCTGGCAGTAGCGCGGGAAGACACGGTCATCAGCATGGCCGCAATTCTGGAGGAGCTCCGACCACAAATGGAACCCCTGAGATCTCTCTCAGAGATTGTGAGGCAGCTCTACGATCCTGTTAATGGCGGTGCGTTCCGCTTTTTGGAGCTCCTTTATGACGAGATTAGCAGAGCCCAATTGTCAGGTCGCGATTCCACCTACGACTTCCTGGGACGAATATTCTTCAACTGTTTTCAAGTCTATCTCCGACCAATTCGACTTTGGATGTCAGAGGGACAACTCGTGCCAGGAGATAAGATTTTTTTCGTTTCTGAGTCGTCAACCCAAGTTCCACTCCGTCAGGTCTGGCAAGAACAATTCAAGATGAGGCGAACGTCAGACGGTGTCTTGCATGCGCCCAGCTTCCTTCAGCCAAGCGTTGGCAAAATTTTCACGGCTGGCAAAAGTATTGTCGTCCTCAAACATCTGGGGAAATTCGATTCACTACGTGAACTTTGGGACGATCGCGAGCCACCTTTAACATTCGACGCGGTCTGCCTGCCGGGCCTGGAACTTGTGCCATTCCCTGAGCTTTTCACATCGGCATTCACTCTATGGATGCAGAGCAAATACCACGCAACCTCGGAAACTCTCAAACAAACGCTCTTCGATTCTTGCAACCTCGAGGCGAACATTGGGGCACTGCAGCACCTCTTCTTCATGGCCGATGGAGCTGCAGCTGATGAATTTTGCAAGGGTGTTTTTGCCCGGCTAGACGCTCTCAGGCCCGATTGGCATGACCGATACTCCTTGACAGGCTTGGCTCAGGAGGCATTCTCATCACGAGTTGATACCACCCGGCTGTTCGTCACTGTCCGGCTCGAAGGCCAGAAGAAATCTGTCGTAGCTGGTCGCGATCTCATCCGAACAGCCTTGCCAGAAATTGCTCTCCAGTATCGTCTTTCCTGGCCAGTGCAACTTGTTGTCACTGAAGACACAAGTGCCCAATATCAAGCAGTTTTTACACTACTCATGCAAATCAGACGCGCCATCGGCCTCATCCAACGCAACCGGATCCTCGATGAGCTTGCTTCCAGGAGCGATATTTGGGGTAGCAAAGCGCTGTACTATTTGCTCCGCTCGAAGCTGATGTGGTTTTGCAACTGCATTCAGACCTACCTCGCAACATTGGTTCTGGCCCCTTACACAGAATCCCTCCGCTGGAAATTGCGGGAGGCCTATGATGTAGATGCCATGATCAGTCTGCACGAAGCCTTCGTCAAGCAAGTTGTCGATGCAGCATGTCTCGGCAGAAAACTGGATCCCATACGCGGTGGCATCCTGGATATTATGGACTTGGCTGCGAAACTTGAAGATGCGCAAAGCGCTAGCGTTGCCGAGGAGGCAGAGGAACAACAGGAGCTATCTCGTCTTTCCATCATGTCCTCGCCGATGAAAGCAAGTCCCCGCCGCCGAAAACCAGCCGTTTACACCGAAGACAGTGACGACGACGGTGCGGAGCGTCACGGAGCCAGAAGCAAAAGGGGCGCAATCAATGCAGGCAAGAGCTACTTGGAGTGTCTGCGGGAGATTAAGACAGACTTCGAGAGGCACCTAAAGTTCATCTGTGGGGGCCTACGAGGGGTTGCCAGGGCTTCAAGCGACGAAGCGGCTGTGAAATGGGACCTCCTGGCCGAAATGCTGGAGGTGGGTGTTAAGGAGGGCGCTTGAATGCCCTGTCGTAGCCCTGCCAAGTTGGAAGGGAACGGCTGGCAGGATTGAGAACTTGGTCTGGAGACCCGCAATACCATTAGAGTTTACAGAATTCCGGAAAAGGACAGGGATCGACATGGGATTCCTTGATTCCCATACTGTCGTCGAACCGACGGGCCAACGCCAACTTTTCCCACTGCAGATGGATCCTGCAGCAGATGAAATTATTGGAATCCCGCAGCGCTGATCTAGTCGGCTTGGTGGGCGGTCAACGGCTACATGAGACGATGTTCGGTGAGCGCCGCCACGAAAGGAGGTTTGCTTACTTTGTCGTGTGATGCCGACAGCCACCGAGTCAATGCAAAGGATCTTGACGGTACGGGGATATACTTGAACTCAACCAGCCGGCTATGGTTCCATCTGATAAGCCAGTCCAGTCCGCTAGTCTAGTGGCTGCCGTCCCTGAGGAAAGAGAACCCCTCGCGCGAAGGTGTGCGAGTGTGGTGATTAATGATGGCTAGCGCAGACCCTTGGGATGACAACCACGAGACCACCCATGCCGGAAACCACGGGAAGCGCGGTATAGTCACGGTGTTCACGATGCCGCCGGACTTGCGTCTCCGCCGGTGTCGAGACGAATATGCAATTCGTGCCCCTGTCCGCCAGGGGACGAGGGTCACTGATGCCAACTTTTTTGTCTCCAGTCAGCCTCGAACCTTGGAACGAGCAAGATCGACAGTGGGGCCCCAACGGTCGCGACTGGAAGCCAAGGGTCCCTTACAACATTTTCCGCACCGGAAGGGGTTGGGTGGGTTGTATCGACACTGGCCAGGCGCCGACTACTTTCAAGCGGGTGAGAGACCTGCCGACAGTAACGTCTCTCTGCTTATAGGCGCTCCCCTTGCGGAAGTCCATGATCCGTCCACGGTGGCCGTCCACGTTTTGAGTTGAGTGTCGCGTTGGTGCCCGAGAGTTGGAGCAAGGAACTGGGAAAGGGAGCCCAACTCGGGAAATTGAAGCTCAAGCCAGGCTGCGCGGGATCAGCTCTGGCGAGGAGTGGACTTCGATTCTACACGTGTAGGTAGGGAAACTTGTCCGCGCGGGTTTGTTGAGGCTGGTGAGCGGTTCGCCCCGAGGACTTCATACATTCCTTCAATGCCGGGCAGCGTGATCTTACTCCCGAGTCGATTAGCCAGGAGCAATCCGCAGCAAGACATAGCCCGGCAACCCCTAGCTAATGATAATGAAACTGGACCTCGGAAGCATTTCGCGAATGAGGTGAAGTGATAGGCGTCTTCCTGGGCTTCTCGTGAACAGCGATCGTACATCACATGTGAAACGGTTTGTATGAAACGGATGGTGGATGCTGCTGACCGTTATCGATTCGGATATTTAGTTTTACCGGTTCTCCGTTACGGCGCGACCTGATGCCCCACCATTAGTGACATCCGCCACGCCTGCATGGTTTGTTTGCCATAGCCGAACTCCTCCAGCAGCTTCACGACGACTTCATCATCCTTCGCAGTTGCGCCAATCAACCCGGAATTTTTTGTCGCATAGCCTCACAGAACCCCATCGCCCAAGATGTCTGAACGAAAAGTGCTCCAGAAGTACTATCCCCCGGATTTCGATCCCTCTGCGCTCACGCGCAAGCGCGGTCCAAAGCAGACTGGCCCAAAGGTCCAGACGGTTCGCATCATGGCGCCATTCTCAATGAAGTGCACGACTTGCGGAGAATATATATACAAGGGCCGCAAATTCAATTCCAGGAAGGAAACGAACCAAGCAGAGAGGTACCTCAATATTCAGATTCACCGCTTCTACCTAAAGTGCACACGGTGCTCGGCGGAAATCATCATCAGGACCGACCCCAAGATTGCCGACTATGCCGTCATAAAGGGCGCAATACGAAATATGGAGCCTTGGCGCAACAAGGAAGGTGAGAAGGAGAGCGTCGACGAGAGACTGGACCGGTTGGAGCGCGAGGAAGCCGAGGCTGCGGGCGAGGAAGAGAAGAATGCGATGGCAGATCTAGAGGCCAAGAACGAGGACGCGAGGCTTGAAATGGCTGCCGCAGACGCGCTCGACGAGATTCGCCAGCGCAACGCGCGTATCCAGCGATCTGAGAAGGACGGCGTGGATTTCTCCGAGTACGTCGTCAGGCCCGAGGACGAGGAGAGGGCGAGGCAAGAGAGGGAGGACGATGAGGCTGCGAGGAAAGCTTTCGCTACTGCTAGAGAGAGGCTCGGGGAAGAGATTATTGACGACGATGACTTCGATGGAGGCGTCATCGGGGGCGGCGTGGGGGCACCCTCGTCATCTTCCTCATCAGCGGCGGTAACGTCAGCCTCAATGTCAGGGGATAAGTCGGGGGCGGCGACGGCGGGGACCGTGAGGGATACTTCAATGATGCCGCCGCCACCGCCTCCAGCAAAACGCGTGGTGAAGAAGAAGAAGGATTACTCTGCGGCGCTTGGCATCAAGAAGAAACCTTCATTGGTCTGAGAACTGTGATAGGGGCTGGAGGGCGTGGCTACAGCTTTTTCCCCATGCTCTTTTTGCTCACCAGCAACACCAAAGTACGCAAAAGTATGGAGAAGCTGCACGTCATTTCTTTCATGACATGAGTACTGTATAAGTCTGTTATGCTGCTGGAAACTTTAATCTCTGGGAGGTCGACCGCACGGACTTTTCCCAGATACATAATCAAGGCATTGGGTGAACAGACGATTGATGGCGTAAGGGTAGAAAACTTCCAGTTATCCAAGGCAAATCGATAGAAGGGGGTCGTGGCCCCCATTTCCCCCTTTCAGACGATGAACAGCGAACATAAACTCTAGCTGTCGAGGTTTGGGATTTCAAGACGTCACTTCATCATCCCCCTCCTCCTTTGCAAGTCGTCGCATCTTCTTTGCCGACTTCTAGATGTTCCTAGGTCGTGTGTGCCGTTTTGGCAAGCCCCGCTGTCGATCCTTCACCTTGAGAGGTCCAGCGCTGCGACGCTATGGTGTTTGTATGTTGAGCTTGTAAATAAACTCGAAGTTTCGGTAGGTATCCCAGCCCGACTCGGTGAACTTATTGCAGCACGATTCAGAGTGCTGGGTGGCTAGACCGCGTCGATCGCGGCAGGGTTGGTGTCTCTAAGTTTGAGGCGGAAGGGATGACCCCTTCGACAGCTGTGATTTATAGATGTACGTAAAGTCCATAACGTAGAATGTGCAAGTCGTCCGGTGCAACTGTAACGTGCGAACAAATTTTGCTCGAATCGCTAGCTGCAGGACGGTGGTAGTGGCAAGGTTTCTCACGTTGAGTACTGTCAGGGTTGGTGAGAAGAGAATGCCTTATTCAATGAATGTACATACACAGTTCTCAAGCATCTCACATGTGGTTAAAGACGGAAAGGTCACAATTTCTGTAGCGATTGTAACGATTTATTCGTTCCTTATCATAACTCATGGGAGCACACGCTTGGCTTGACCAAGACTGTGCGACCCGGTATCCCTTAGTCTCCAAACGCCTGGGGGAAACATACCCCTGAAAACAAGACCGCCACTATGTAAATAACATCTCTCGCACCAAATGCTAATGTTGCCGTAATTCGCCGTTGGAATCCGAAGCGCTAGTATACCACTATATCGCGTCGACTCTGGACTTTGCGCCGTGGCAGTCGCTGAAAATGAAGTGCCCTTCGCATAAGATTTGAATAATATGAGATGGAGCAGTAGCCCGATGAACCAAGTGTCCTGGATCATAAGGACCGTGGAATCATCAAATGCGTCTTAGTAAGACGAATCGTGGCTTGATGAAGAGTGGTGCCCGTTGATAGAGGGATAGCTGGTGCGGCCACCAGATCTTCTGGTAGAAGAGCGGTTGGCAGCCTCCATCTGGCGCTTGGTGTGTTGGTGCATCGAGCGCATGTAGGTGGAGAGATCTGATGGAGGAGGGGGGGAGATGGGGATGGAGACAGAGTAGGCGTCCTGGCGAGCGGGCATGGTGGAAGGGCTCATAGGGGCGGCTTGGATGAGTTTAAAATATCGTACGAAGTGAAAGCCGTAAGGATTGATAATTCTTTGTAGTTCTTGGAAGAATGCGAGATCGAGTAGATGGTTAGGATTGGAGATATAAGACTGGATAAGTAGCTTTGTTATAGTTGATTAAGACGGTGAGGTTATTGTTAATGGAGCTGGATGCTGATGAAACGGGAATTCTAGAAACGGTTGGAGGCAGGAATGGTCCCGGGTTTATAAAAGAAAACAAGAGGGGCAAAAAAGTCGCTGCAAGGCTTGTCGTGGAGAAGATGTGAACACAGACGTAGGGAAAGTTGGGCAGGACGGGGTTGCGTTGTGAGCAAGCCACCATCAGGCAAAACACAGGGTCCTCCGTCACTAGCGGGCAGGTGTTGCAACAAGGTACACTGCACCCCCCCTCCTCCAAGGAAGGGGCCTGAGTGTGGGAGCCTGGGAGGCAGGACCACGCACAGAGAAAGCAGGCACTGTCTTTTCTCCTCACCCCCTCATCCCTCCCACTCGCGAGAGGAGCTATTGCATATTCTGCCTACACTCAATCCGCTAGGGATCGGCAGTGGTTGACTGCGTCTTAGCGTCTGCTGTACCCCCGGGTGAGGTCTGCACCATATGGCGTAACTGGGCCGGGGTCGGGGCGGAGGAGGCCAATCAAGCAGACATCACTTCTTGCCACGGGCAGGGCTGATGATGCAGTAAGCGGTACGGTGATACACTGCAGGGCGAGGTGGTAGCGGTGGTTTGTGGGTGCGGGAGACGGTCGAGAACGAAAAGACCCTGCTGATCAGTTGTCCAGACCGAAAGTCACCGGGCGTGTCATTGTTGGCCACACAGCTGTTGCTCCTTAGGGAGCTGTTTTGGGCTCATCGACATGTCGAATGCCCCGACTTTCGGACAAAGACAGCGACGATCCCTTTTCCTTTCTCTTCCCACCCCTTGGAGGTTCTAGGTCGAGGGTAGAGACCCTGAGAAAAGAGGCTTGAGGGGTTTCTTATTCATGCATTATCACTACGTAGCGACAGACGAGGACAGACTGCAAGCGAAAGGATTGTCTCGAACATCGTGCCCATCCTGACGAAGGTGTGTTGGACCCTTGATTTGGCCACCCTATGAGCTTACAGTAATGCATTATCGAAAGCTTGAAACCTTCCCAGCTCTGATGGAGGGTCGGCATGTTCGCTGTACGACTGTGCTGCATAGTCCCTCCTTCCAATCCAGGGGAAAGGGAAATGGGAACGGGGACATGCCATGAAAACTCAAAGCGAGCGAGCGTACCTGGCCATCCGCAAGCAAGCAGCGCGGCGACGATGGGGGTCCAGCCCAGTGTCACAAGCCCTGCAAAGAAGCGTGTTCACATTAACGACACGCGCTACTGGCACTTGACCAGAGCTGCCCTAGTCAAAGGGTCAATGATGGGGAAAAGATGGTGGAGGCAAGCTACGCGGGTGGTAGTCTCGTCTTGCTTAGAGTGGCAGGAATGTGTGAGAAGGTTGGCAACGGCGCGGCCAAGCAGTAGCTAAGCAAGACTTGTCGTCAAAGATCGGCGGTCGAAGCAGACGTCATTGGCCGAAGCGTCTGCTTCGGCCGGACCCCGGGTGTGGACGTTGCTGCCAGTGGGTCCGTCCAATGTCTCTTTTTCCTTCCTTTTTCGCTGGTCGCCTGCATGTTGCACTCGCCCACAGCGCAGCAAAGTCTCCATTTCCCACACACGCCGTCAAGGCAGAAAGCACGGATCCCGCCCCAAAGGCTAGCTGCGAAATATGAAGCCATTCAGTATGGAGTAGTATCTTGTAACTCCCAGGACCCGGCTTCTCCACCTCTTCGAGGACTGTCATTGGTAAGATCCCAGTGTCAGTGGAAAAGCTGTCCAGATCGTGACCATGCCTGTTCAAAGAGCAGGAACGTACCTGGCAGAAATTTCCATGATGCCCTCATGCCCACCATCCTCCGCCGGCATGGGATTTTGGTCAATTTACCATGGCAGACAGACTAGACTTCGGCACTCTTGGGCTTCAATTTCCCATCTCCCCCTCACCCCCCTCTCCGGGAAAATGATGAGAATTGCCTCTTCCCCCCGGTGGCAAGCCCCATCCAACGAAGGCCTCAGCGTTAATTCCCATGTCAGGGGGATCTTGACGTGCCCCATCACACCCATCAAGCCCTCCCACACTTGGTCCACCGGGTCTAGACTCTGTCGAAGCTATTCACAACTCGACGGTAAGACAATAAAGCGCCAAGGTCAACAACAAGGAAGCGGAGAAACTTCGAACGAATCTCGGCTCTCATCATTACGGAGCCGGATCATGGAGGGACAAGTCGGGCAAGGAGGCAAGGTTCATTCTGCCGTAGGCCGCATCCAGTCTTGATCAGACCCTCACCGAGAGATTGGTGACATATTTTCCTCAGGTGAGAGATTTTCCCTGCGCCAGGGGTCGAGAACTAAAGCTCCGATACGCGCTGGGATTGAAAGGTCGGGGAGATCTGACAAGAGAAAACATGCTTGATCGCTAAGGAAAGCAACCGAAACAACGGATTTGCGTGTTTGTGGTCTAATAGCCTAGAACCCGTTAAAGCATGGATTGCCTCCCTTGGTCGCGGCGAGAGAGCTCTGACGGAAGATAGGGGATACGCAGCAAACCGTAACGTAAGATAGACGGCCAGGGGGGTCGCGAAAGGGATGGATGGGAATGGTCCATGGATGGATGCATGTGGCAGGACGTATCCGTAGCGACGGACAGACCTCAGACCGGACGTAATGTGTAGGCTTTGGGGCTGCTTGATGGGCACACAGACGTCAAGGCTGACGGAAGGCAGCTCTTCCTTTCTCTAAGTGCGTCCTTCTGTTCGTTCCGCCTCGCCTCAGTCTACGTTGTTGGGGGTTGGTGTGTCATAAGGTCTTGCCAATCAAGTCTCGTGTGAAGTCACGCTGCGCCACTAACCCGGCGCCCTATGATGTCACTCGGGCCCCTGGTCCGACGGTCGGATCCCCCTGCCATGGTTGAGTGAGCCAATCAGAATGTTGGAGCGAGCGTTTTCTTCCTTTCTCATACCTACCTGGTAACGTTTTGACAAGCTGCTCCGTCACACACCCCCCTCTCCTCAAACGCTGGTCCATTCCGTCACAGGAAGGAAGGATACGCGCGACGACCTCATAGCACCACAGACAGCACCACAACTTACGTCTCAAGCCCGCTTAGACCGAGTTCCACGAGGCGGAAAGAAGCCCTTTTTCATCCCCAGATCTTCAGATTTGCACGTTTGCTAGCCAAAATGCGGCTCCCGTCTCGCTTGTTCGAGGACTGCTGCATTGTCTGTCATGCACACCTGGCTACCCTAGAGCTAGATTCTTTCTCGCTTCACCCCTTGCCACAGCTCTCATCATCGTGCGACCCTGACGGCGGCTGACAATGGAAAGCCTCCCGTCTGTGGGAGCACCCATGAAGCGATTCCCGCCACCTGCATCATTCCATGACTATCCACACACTCCATGACTCCCTTGAGCCTCGAATGGAGACCCAGGGCCGCGCCAAGGTTCCAGACCCTGACTCTGTCTGACCGGACCGGAACAAGAAGAGCTCACATACCTTACCTATGTCAAGGTGGTTTGAACAAACTGTTCTTCGCGCCGTCCAGCCATCACACGTGATGACGCCATGCCTCACCTCATCTGTACCGGCCGCTATGCCCGAAGAGCTGGCACACACACAAACAGATCTGAATCCTCTGACTTTGGGCAGATGGTCGTCCGTGACAGCATACGTATTCAGCGACGACCCCTAAATCACAGCTGGCAAATGCGGGCTAGGAAGTGTTTTCGCCCCTGCCTCCTCGACTCTCGGCCACATTAGCAGCCGGCCAACGGCTAGCACGCAGTATGAACGAATGGCCCGCATAATGACATCGATCTCGCCTGCGATGGGACCTTTTGATAGGGGCCGAGGGATCGTGGAGGTCTGGGGAAACATCCTCTGGGACGTCATGAATGATGTTATGCCAGAGACGATTTCCTTCAGACATCTATGGCCTCCTACGCCCAGCGAAAATCTTCGGCCGACCCCTCGTCCACAATGACGTTACCTGATCTCCCTTCTCCAATTCATCATGAGTATCAAGGTCCACATGCCTCGAGCTTAGCAATGACGTTTGAGCCTCGAGCATCACCAAGAGCCACCTAATGGAGGTTGAGGAATAACAGCACGCGGTGTACTTCCTTTGCGCTCTCTGTTCTCCGAAACCCTTCTGACCGAACCGATGCTTTGCCCGCCACTTTGCGGCACCTCTACGTCCAACTATACTGGGACCTGATGGATTGAAGCTCTCTCTCATCGAGATCCTCGCCGCTAACCGTCCCGGTAATGATTGGCTCTTACAGAGCTCCTGGGGCGATCCCCTCCGTCATCCTGACGGCTGTTCCGACTTCTCGAGCGCGACCTTGTCACGCTTCTTTTCAGTTATCGAGAATCATCGGCCAAGGGATTTGTGCAGTCTTCGAGGGTCTCTCACATCTCACTGTTTGACGGCGAAACCCAGGTGTGATCCGTGGTAAACAGTCCGCAGTTTTACGGCTGTCATGCGTCTTCGGAACTGTGCTAGGTGGCGGCAATGTCCGTCCTTTCGAGGTACAGTGTCACCATTTACTGTTCCTGATCTTCGATCTTTCCCTTTATTACAGTATGTCATCATCGCGCCGCTCCTGACAAATTGGTGGAGAGACTCAGTCTAGTCGAAGATGATGAAGATGGCCGGATAGTCCATCCTCGCACCCAATTTCTCTAGATTCTCACCTTAGGTACGTGTAACGCCTTACTGGTCGATGGTTCAGAGCTGGTGTAAATGTAACCTAAAGGACCTCTTGGTCCTTCTGCAGGGACGCCGGTGCCGTCATTCTGATCAAGTGCTCCAGTTATTTTTGGTCATTGCAGTGGGTTTCGGTCGACGTGAGATCAACTACGGTAGTTCTCATTGTAAGCCTACGCTCATGATCTCATCCCGATCTTTCTTCGAGCAGTCCCTTGAGCTACCTGTGGTGAATTATTTTCAGATTGAAACTTCGACCCCTTTGTCCGCGAATCTCAATTCTCGGCAGATTTCCTATACCCCTGACGAAATTTGGAGAAAGCATTGTGGCATGGTTGTGCAACCTCCTTAAGCACAACGCTTTGGGAAGCTGGCGGATCATCTTGGTAGACTCGCCAGAGTCATCTTCATACCTGGACTATCATATATTTGGTGAAAGAAGACGTTTTGTTTGTCCCTTGATCAACTCAATACATTGCGAGCGTTATGACTCTCCGTCGTGTAGATTTCGGCCGTTGTTCTTGGCTCGCAGCCCCAAATAGAGGCTTTATGTCGTCACCGAGGGCTTCTACATATCGAACCATTCATGGAGAGTATTCTCAACGCATCCAGAGCAAGTAGCCAGTGCGAGCGAAGGCGAGAGAGTAACTATCAAATCACAAATTCGAGAAGGGGGATTACAAGGTGTGGCGTGTAGTCACGAGACCTCGAGGCTCTGACAAAGCTCGGTACCATTGCGAAGCATGAACGGCTGGCACCTCAGTGAGGAACTACTACACAAGGATTGTTGTGCGGGACCTGCTCTTGTCATTCTTGAGGAATGCACGGCCGGCTTGATTCTTTTCTAAGGAAGTCCAAATGAAACTACCAACGAAAGTTGATGTTTATGATTTACCCTAAGTCTTCACATTGTTGAGAGGATGAGCATGTGTTATTTTGAAGTTTTCGGCGGGATGGTAGAATGATTAACCTACTTGAGTCGATGCCTATACCTAAATTCAAGTACCATGTGGCCATCTCCTTTAACAAGTGCCAGACTCCGAATTATCATAACAGCCCCTGTTCAATAGCATATGGCTTTACTTACCAACTTGTATCCTTGTGCTTATCTCCACCTTGATGAAAGTCAGAAATATCCGAAGTGGCGTCGACGGCCAAGGTTTCCATTGCAGAATAATTTATCTACCTCACCAGTGTATGTCGAGAGGAAACGTAAGCAAGTTTGCCTACCGTGTCTCGGAGAACACCTTGATGTAGGCCCCACACCTGCCAAATGTAGATGTTCATGACTTGACACAAAAGCGGCGCATCCTTCCCTTCAAACCCGTCAACTGCCTCACTTACCTCGAAAGACCTCAGCCGCGGAAGCAAGGCACGTATGCTTTTGTCGCCGTGCCCATATCTACCCCTGCGAGTGGGACACGGTTGACTTTGCTCTTCACAACCACGACGGGCACATGTTTCAGATGAAACCACGATCATTGGACCTGACACGATTTTTGAGAACTCTGTCTACATGAGATTGCGATCTTGAGATGCTAATTGGACTTCGGAGGGAGTAGACACGGCATCGACCGCCCGAGAATATTGTTCAGACGCTTGCATTCCTGGGCAAAGACCTGCACATCCACGACGGATGGCAACACAGCTTTTGCCACAAAAGGATAAGCATGGAGGAGAACGATGATCGCTGAATCCACCAACGATAACTCTCGTCTGATCTTATCGCGAGACCCTTGCCTCGCCTTACAACACTCGACAAATCCAGTCGATCTTTTCCCGATCCTCCATCGACCCCGCTACCATGGTATTCTGAGTCGGGAGCAACCATACACAGCAAAGACTTTCTGGCTTCGCAAACCATCGAGCCAGTCTTCTATCAGGTCTCGTTAGGTATATGGATTCTCCCTGACACTGCCACCAATCAAGGAACCGGAGGGTTATCGTGGTTCAGCCATGGCTATCATGCCCTCCAACCAGCCTGAGGGTTTATCCGCCCGCAGAAAGCCAAAGAATACGGATGCATTAGTGTTCGGGCCGGGAAACCCCATTGAGCTGTGTATCCTGTCGATCTTTTGGAGCAGACAAACTTTTTTGCGGCGATAATTGACACTTCGGTCATCCCAGATACTGGAGGGGTGTTCACGACCTAGCGACGACGGACGATCATTTCTGCAAACTCCCTTGGTTTGTGTTGCGCAGACGACCGATCACCTTCAGCTAAGAGACCAAATCCAAACATCATTCCTATCATCCTCACAACCTTGTTAACAATGTCGACATCCCGCACCCTTGGCATTTACACAGCACCAGAGTGCTGGTCATGTGGATGCATTGTGTTTTTGGCTCTGAGAGGCGTTGGGCGAGTAAACCTTGTCTCGGCGACTCATTCACGCGGGTTTTGCTGCTGAAGAGGTCATTGGTAGAGGACACAAGCTCGAACTTCAATTTCATTCCGGTTCGGGTCATCCCTGGCCATTTGACATTCACTTTCACCTCTAAATTCCCTCGACGAACCAGGGCTGTTGCGCGACGAGCCGGACAACCGACGAGCAGTGATTTTGTCTTTGCGCACATATTCACCATCGATCTGTTCTCTGCAGCCTATGGCCTCGTGGTGAAGCTCAGATGGCGTCCCATTTTGGATTTTATACGTCCCGGAAGGCCAGTGGCGAAGACGCTGCTAGGCTCCGGATGCCGAGTATCGGAAACAAAGGGCCGATGTTTCATGGTCTACTGCAATTCAATACTGTCTGTGGCTGGGTTGTGCCAGCCACAAGGTCAGCATGGATTCCCTGAAGAACAGCCGGCTGCATCCGTTGCCCACTTCCTTGGAAGCGCCGCGGCAGACCAGATAATCCCTTCACTGTTCTTGGTCTCGCAAATCAATGGTAATTAGTATCATTGGCCTACATTCAACTAGTAGCACGGAAGAGAGCCAGAGCTGAACTCACCATAATTTTACTGGCTTTCATCGCAATGACGAATTGCTAGGAGAGGACAATAAGAGCGCGTCTTCAACACACGGACCCCGGATTGGGTCCAGAAACTATGCCGACGTCGCACAAACATCCCATCTCTTGGCTGACTACTCCCAGCCAGCCAGAGCATCGCCAACCTTTTGTTTTCACAGACTCTGCCAAGGCAATCATGGGAAATGTAAACAGGGTCTTTTCCGGGGTTGTTTGGCAAGTTATACTGGCACAGCCAGGAACAGCGGAACGATGCTAGAGACTTTTACACATGTCCTTTTCCGGCAAACACCAAAGGTGCAACGAGGACAGAGAAATCGCGATCCCCCAGCCCATTGCGATGTCGCAACTCGCAGTCGCAGCTTGTTCCTGTTCTGTTCAAATAAGGATAACCTTGCATATTCCAGGAACAAGCTTTCCCCATTTATCGACGCGCATCTCCCGAACCCCAGAGAGTGTGGTCGCCGGCCAATGCCTCATGCAGCAGACAGTTGCGTCTTGTAACAACAGTGCTAAGACGGTGTTTCACCTTGGATCAACAATGTTTCCGCACCCACGGATGGCCCCCAAGGTTTACATGAGGCGGAAAGAGCAGGCGCCCTAGATAATGTGTGGGCAAGTCGCCCAAAGGCAGAATATGCGTAGCCGAAACTCTTTTCTCTTTCCTGTTAAACGACGTTGTGGTTGAGCCAGGTATATCCGTCTGGCTGTGTTAGTCACATTCATTTCTTCCTTTCTTTCGATTCTAAACACAGTAGCGACATACTATCCGCTCCTTCGTGATACTTCTTAATAATGTTGTCCAAGGCTATCGCGATCCTGGCGGCGGCGACGTTGACGTCGGCCGCCACGCCCATGGGTTTCATGCCCAGTTCAAACACTCCCCTAATTGTTTCTTACGGAGGCATCTCGGCACTGGATGGCGTGAACCTGCCCAAGGATTGTAAGTTTTCACACGGTCGAGATCAAAGAGCCGAGGTCAGCCTAACAGATACGCCACAGCTAGTCAGACTCAACCCACGATCGCGACCGAGCAGCAGCTCAAGGGCCAGTATGCGGTGATAATGGTGGATATCGACGTCCCGACCAACGAACCCCCGAAGACGGGAACTCTGCTCCACTGGATGCAAACCGGCCTCATGTCCGCTGACACCCCGACGACGCTCAACACGACCGCCGGGCCCAAGAAGGTCTTTCTCATGCAGAACAAGATGAACGCGGCAGCGCTGGCGCCGTACATTGGTCCCAACCCGCCTGCGAGAGAGCCCCTCAGCCACAGATACACCTTCGTTGCGGTCGACCATACGACGATTACCCAGCAAGGCCTCATGGCCCTCTCTGGCGCCGCCCAGAGCCGTCGCGACTTCAACGTCATGAACGGTCTCATGGCAGCCGGTCTTTCGGACAAGGTCGTCGCCGGCAACTTCTTCCGCGTCACAAACGCCGGACCCGTTGGCGCTGGCCAGGGTGCGGGTGGTGGAGGAGGCCGCGGTAACGGCACCGGTGGAGGAGGTGGCATGCCCACGCAGCCCATGCCGATGCCAATGCCTAACCCTGCGCCCACTGGAACCCCGACTGCGCCCGGTGGCGGCGGAATGCCTGGCATGCCCGGCATGCCCGGCATGAGCATGGCCCCCAGTATGACTATGTCCATGCCCGGTATGCCCGGTGCCAGCGCGCCCCCCGCCGGAGGTGCTCAGCCGTCAATGCCGGCCCGTGCCAGCGGTCTCAGTCTTGCTCCCGGCCTCGGCCTCATGACCATGGGACTCTGCCTCATTGGCTCCCTGTTCATCTTCATGTAAATTGCCGGTTGAATATACAGGCCGATACGGGTACAGGGACAGATGGGGTGGGTGTCTTCATGTAACCTGTTGAAGAGGCCAGAAATTCTTTTCTTTTCTTCTCCTGGCTGACGTCGCAAGCTGGATATGACGGGACGCCAGTCGTACATAAGGTAGATCAGCATGCCAATATAACAGTTCAGATGTGGCACATTCTTCGACGTTGTTGACTTTATAATTGCGGTACGCTCAGCCGTGGGATGTGCCGACAATCGCCATCCCTGTGAATATCTCTTTGCGCAGCATGAGCCCTGCTTGTGGATGTCATATCTAGGCGCGACGTGATTTCTCCAACCGATAGACAAGTATGGGAGTATGAATGAAGGGACAACATTGCCGACAGCCGATTTATTGAAAGAAAGGGCATACGCGAAAACCCGGAGAGCGGGGCTGTGTAACACGGAGGACGGATGATCAAAATGGCTGGTTCGGTACGGGAACTTGACCGATCCGGAAAGACCTTGGCTCGGCCCCATGAATCTACTCCGGCTCCCCTCCGTAATGGCTGATATCCATCTCGGCGTCACATGCGCAGTCATGTGATCTCGCCACGCCCTTCCTTCCTGAGAAACTCGTCACGACTTGCCCTCCTAAAGATTCTTAGTGCTAACGGCGTCCAGCTGATATTCTTCGCGGTTGGCTGTCTCGCATTGCCTGTAAAAAAAAAGTCCGCTCCGCACCCCGCGCGCGCGCATACTTCACCTTTTGTCTAGGCCCTTCTCTTGCTGCTCCCTTACAAATAGCGCAAGCGGGTGTTTACACCCCTTCAAAACGCATTACATGAGTCACTTGCAACTTTACTCGCGCCCAGATCTTAGATTGTAGTCCTCTGGCTTACTAATAACTGTGACCGCGCCGAGCGGCTAATCTGTGAGATGTGCTTTGTCACATCCGAAACCTGGCCTAGAGTGGTCAACTTCATGATCAAAGTTGCGTAGGAAAGGAAATCGGCTTTCATAATTGCGCCAAGATTTTGCGTCGACGGGGCGCAAAGTTGTAGTAGTACGCGGTGCAACTCGGAGACATTCCTGCTCCGTTTCGACAGTCCATCGATAGTGTCTCCCAGGGTCTCCCCCCGGACGGAAACCCAAGATGGAAAGGAACCACCACAAGACAGATCTAGATTACCCTGCCTCTCTAATTTGTATAAAGCCATTGAGTCGCCTCGCGCTCGTCGTGAGATTTGATCCTCAGTCTCCTTCACCCAGCATAAGTTCTTCACTCCCACATCTCCCGAACGTTTCGAAACGGATTAGAAACTCGGACGAGCTACATCCTAGCACAACTACAAGGGGTACCGAAAACCCTTAATACGCATCCCGCTGTTTTCAAGCTTCCGGGCTCCCGAGATATACAAGCTTCTTAACGCAACTTTTTCCTACCTCACCTTGCACACCAACGCACCGAAATTCTCAACAGTCAACCGACAATGCCTACTCTCGTTGTTCTTGGCGCCGGCCTGGCTGGCCTGCCCATCGCACACCATGTCTTGAAGCATACGGTCCCGCTGGTAAAGGACTTGAAGGTCATCTTGGTCACGCCCAATTCCGAGCAGTGAGTCCTCTCTGTGGCGTAGCAAATCCAAGACGTCATCCACTTACACGCAGGTTCACAGCTACTGGAATCTTGCATCCGTCCGCGGCATCGTGCCGGGCCAGTTCGGCGACGACGTGCTCTTCCATCCCATTGAGCCAGCGTTCGCCCGGTATCCCAAGGAAAGCTACGAGGTCATCATCGGCAAGGCCGAACAGCTCAACGACGATAAGAACACCGTCGCCGTAGTCGCCAACGACGGCACCCGCAAGACAATCGCCTACGACGCCGTCGTCATCGCGACCGGCACCCGTGCCAAGGAGAGCATGCCGTGGAAGGAGGTCGGCACGACGGAGGAGACCAAGAAGGCGCTCGGCGACATCCGCCAGCAGCTCTCCAACGCCAAGAGCATCGTCGTTGCCGGCGGCGGCATCACGGGAACCGAGACGGTGGGCGAGATCGGCTTTGAGTACTCCCAGAAGCACAACAAGGACGTCTACTTCATCTACAACGACGACTTGCCCCTCGGCCCCCCCCTCACCGATAGCGTTCGCAAGGCGGCGCTCAACGAGCTGCAGAAGCTCAACGTCAAGACGATTCACAACACCAAGGTCACCAACGTCAAGACCGAGGCCAATGGGCAAAAGACGCTCGAATTGACTGACAAGAGCGGCAAGAAGACGACGCTGCAGACGGACGCGTATCTGCCCACCATCGGCGCCATCCCCAACACCTCGTTCCTGCCGTCCAACATGCTTGACGCGCCCGGGTACGTCAACCAGGACAACAGCTTGCGCGCGGTCGGCCACGACAATATCTTTGTGGTGGGCGACGTTGGCAACCTCGAGGATGGATACGGACGCCTCGCGGACACCCAGGTGCAGCACGTAGTCAAGAGCATTCAGGCTCATTTCACCGGCGCGCCGAGGCCGGCCCCGTACGTCGTCGACCCCAAGATCATCGCCGGCATCACAATTGGACGGAGCAGGGCGACTGGCCAGATGGGAACGTGGAAATTGCCCAGCATCATGATCTGGTTGTTCAAGGGCCGGTATATCGGCACTGACTACGCCAAGGAGTTCGCTGCGGGAACAAGGACAATGACGGTCACCAAGAACTGGTAAAGAGACATGAGAACCGGCTTATGGTAGATGCATACTTGGTGTTTAGGCGCTTGGGAAAGGGGGGGTGGGGGGGAGATGCTTCGTAATGTAGGGCTGGCAGGCTTCTCGAGTCCGTGGAGTCCAACAACCTTGGTTTTGATGTTTTCGGTGTCCTTCCGCGTGGCAATAGAGTTATCTTTGGAATGATGATATTCCTCGACTGGTTACTAGATGGGGCTGAATATTAGTCTTATTCCGGAGCATGCATGATCAACGTGGTGATGGTGACACTGGAACGGTGAGGGCTGAGCTACTCCATCCAAGTGTGGGCACTGTGGATTGTATGGAAATTTCTGCAGTACCTCACAGTGCTAATGGACCGTGTTGCATAAGATGCCCCACACGGTACGCCTGACCGCTCGTCCGAAGACGGCCTAGCGCGAAATTCCAGCAGCTTCAAAACGGCGGCGCGCTGCGAAAATTCTGTTGCTCTTTCTTCTTCTTTTTCTTCTTCAGATCAAAAAGTAACCCAGAGCTGCCACGACCTACACCCAGTCTTTTCTCACGGTGTAGCGTTGCCTTTTCCTCTCCTCGGAGGGGATCGCTCTGCAGAATAAAATCCCTGGATTATAGGAAGTCTCTCCCCAGGCCCATTTCACGGGCGGTGGGTGAGGGATGCTGTTGATGGGGGACATGCCATTTCCAAGGCATGGGTTCGTTTTTATTTTCCTTTCGTCCTGTCGTTGTTAAACAACCGATAGACTCTGAATGAAATGAGTGAGACCCTGGTGCCAGTAACCCGGATAGCATTGATTGCGCGCGGGTCATGGACTTGATTCCGTTTGCGAAGAGATGGAGGTTTATGAGGAGGTACTTTCCTACTTTTGAAGTACCAACTCTGACCTCTGTCCCTAGGTATCCAGGAACGGCGGCGGCAAGTGACGTTTCGAGCCTGATCCCTGTCCAGGCTGACGCCATGCCGGCTAGCTGGACTGGTTCAACACCACTGGCGGCCATTCCCTACGTGCCGGAGCTGAATTCAGACTCGTAAAATGGTGGAAGGCAGAGAGAGAGCATGCCAACGGTACTTCTCGCCATTTTGGGGCTGAAGAGGAAAGAGGTTGCAGTCAACAGTCTTCACTATCCACTGCTTCAGCGAACCACGGTAAAAGGAAAATGTGGAACCCTCGTGCAACAATCCGTAAGGGAGTCCCCGTCCCTCCTGTTTCTTTCCATTCCCAGTGCCGCCTCAGCGTTGCCGTGAGGGTCGATCAAAGCCCCAAGAGGACGAGACACAGGCGTGACAGCCTCAGGTACCAGGAACCAAGCACGAGAAAAGCGGTATGGTTTCTATACTGTTAGTCCCGAAAGCGGGTTTCCATAGGTTCTCTCCTACTCCTCCTCCTTCTCATCCACTCTTTTCCCTCCGTTGAGGTGTAACTGTGCCACATGTCTTGCCCCCTGACTGCATTTTTGGCCATGCTCCCAGAACATGTTGCTGCGCGTCAACGCCCTGGCACCCGTCTTTGATCCCCGGCACATGTGCCTTGTCTCTGTCACCGTCGTCGTTGCTAAGTTGGTGATGGTATCCCCACCTCAGGTAATCAAGCAGCACCTAGGATTGGAAGGTGGCCCTTGCTAATCCGAGTTCTCGGATCAGCCGCACATCTCTAGCATCCACCGGACCTCGAGGTGGACATTACCGCATGCTTCCTCTCATACAGGAGCAGAGGACGTGTCTGATGTCAACGGCTCCTCCAAGGGACCATCGTCGTCCGGACCCGGGCACTGAGGAATGTGCCGCAATGTCCCGTCATTCCCACCATATGCTTGCTTTCATACAGCCGCCGGGGGACAACGTACCTAGGGGCCGGGCTCGCATATTCAGCTAACCCTTCTTGGCTCGTCTTTGCCGGCTCCTGACTGTTGCTGGTATCCCTATAAGACGAAGAGGCCGGTCGTGATGAAGAAAGCTCTCGGAGTAGCCCTTTCCTCTCGGAGTAGCCCTTTCCTCCTCAGTTCTCCCCCCCCCCCCTCGGTGCCGCATCTTCCGCCCCTAGAAGAACTCCCGCTCATCTAGTCATTCGTTGGACCCTGTCCCATCACATTCGTTCCATATAGTGAATACCTGTCTGTCGCTCGTTTCGTACAGCTCAATCTAACCCCTCGCTCGGCCATACAACTAATTCCAAACCCTCGATCCATATACACCTAATCGATTTCCCCAAACCTTGTACTAAACAACAGTCAAAATGAGGTAACAACATCCCCTTTTGATATATCCTATAACCTGCTGTGTCAAATGGGCTTCTGACATATGTTCCAGTGTCGGAGCTCTTACCACATCGGCCTTCTTCACCTGCGACCCGGCGGTCACGGCCACGGTCACCGCCACCACCAATGTCTACACCACCGTGTACACGACAACGGCCCTCGCCGCCAACCCCTCCACTTCATGGATAGCCACCTACACTGTCACCGAAGTCTGCACCGGCCAGCCGTGGGAGTACGTGACCCAAGATATCCCCCCTTGCTTCGCGCCTACGACCGTATACTGCGAGCCCTGCGCCCAGAAGACCATCCCCATTATCTGCCCCATCCCGACCCCGACCGCCGACGTCGTCATCAACGGCAACGGTGTTACCGCCAACTCTAATCCCGTCATCACCGCCGCCCCCTACGGCGTCTACGGCTCCTACGGATCCTACAGCAATGGCAACGGAGGCGGAGCCAACCCCAACCAACCCGGCGGCGGTCAGCCCGGCGGCAACGGCGGCTCTCCTCCCGGTGGCTCCGGAGGAAGCGGCGGTGGCAGCAACAACGGCGGCGGCGGCTCCAACCCCGCGGCTCCCTCTGGCAGCCAGGGCGCCGGAAGCTACGGTGTCTACGGCAGCTACGGCTCTTACAACGCTCAACCCGGCGCTCCTGGTGCCCCTGCTCAACCCGGTCAGTCCGGCGCTCCTGGTGCTGGAGGTGCTCCCGGTGCTCCTGGTGCTCCTGGTGCCCCTGGTGCCCCTGGTGCCCCTGGTGCTCCGGGTGGTGCTCCGGGTGGTGCTCCTGGTGCTCCTGGTGCTCCTGGTGCTCCTGGTGCTCCTGGTGCCCCCGGTGGAACCCCCGGTCAGTCTGGCGCCCCTGGTGCTGGCGGCGCTGGCGGTGCTCCCGGTCAATCTGGTGCTGGCGGTGGTGCTGGCGGCGGTGCCCCTGGCTCGACTGCTCCCGCAGGAGGTGCTCCCGGCTCCACGCCGTCCACAGTCCAGGTCGCCTCCGCCCCGTCTCTTAAGAAGAGCCTCGGCCTCCTTTGCGGTATCGCAATGGCAGCCGGCCTCACCATCTTTGCTTGAGATGACTTCTTTAATTCACGCCGTGCTCGCGCAGATAAAAGGGAATGCGGGATGGACGATGGAGGGGATCAGGAATACGGTTGGATCCTTTGGCTGTCCTGCTGTCCCGGGAGTTTCGATTTTCAACATTGTCATTTGTTACTAATTGGCGGCATTTGTGGGCTACTGTGCCCCAGCGGAGTTGACATAGTTGGACAAAGGGCCCTAGGGTGTTGCGTTTTTGGATCAATACCGTTGTTGAGTTTTAGATTGAAGTACGAATACAGGTTTTCTTGGGTGTTTAGCTATGCCCTCTCACCCTTTTCCCTCATTTTGACAAAGTGCATATCGACAATGAAGAGGTTTTGAATTCGTTGCTCACAATAAGGTTTGTTGGTTTCCCGGCGCTTTGATCACCGCCAAGCTCTTTGACAGAATCGCGCTATGGGCTGATGTTGCGAGGGGTAAAGAAGGGGGGGAGATGATTGCAAGCCAATTTCATTTCGTCGTGGAGGCTTGGAACTGAGAATGATCGAATACCAAAACGCCGCCGATTCAATCAAAACATATCCAGGCCCTGATTATTCCTGGATTGGTAGGTAATGCTGAGGGAATGGCGGCTTCCCTGTGTTGTGTTTCTGGTCGCGGTCCACACTCATTGGAGAATGCCGTCTTCTCCCTTGCTACGGTGCTGCTGGCGGATGAATTCCTCCACCTGGGCGTCGTTGTACGGCCGTTCCGGAGGTCCAGGAATTCCTGGACGCGAAATCTTTTCCTCCTTCTCCTCCTGCGGATTACCGAGAATCTTGGCCGCGGCTGGTATGTACTGTGTCACTTTTTTGGAATGTCCTTGATGAGCCACACGTATCTAGATATTTGAGAAAAGCTCGGAGCGTGAATCGGGCATGATGGGACAGGAAAGGTTGTGCAGTGCAAGGCAAGGATCATGGGAGAAACGACGGGTGATGATGTGTGGTGGAATCGAAAACACATGATGATCGCATGTGATGCTCTACCAACCTTTCTCGACGATGGGGTTCTGCTTGGGATCTTCTTCGGATTTACGGGCGTCGTGAGCGGCCTGATCCAGCTTCTGCTTGAAGCTCAACTCGCGGCTTTTGTTCTGGATTTGAGGCTCCGGCGCAAACTTGCTGTTAGGTTCAGCGGACATGATGGGCGGCTGCGGTGCGAATAAGGTAATTGGTGTCGGGTGGCAAGGGGACGGTCGGTTGCGATGATCGCGTGTCTTCAACGTCGTAGGGCTGAGACGGTGGGTTGGCGCGATATGAGATGGGCTACGGAGCAGAGAACGACAGAGAGAGTAGGGCAATAATGAATACTGAGTCCTATGAGGTCAAATTGAGTTTCTCGAGTGTGGCGGAGCAACAGGCATTGAGAGACTAGGTGAGATGGAAAGAGGAAATAGCCCGACAGGGCTGGGAGTTGGGGAAGGGGTTATTTCAAGTAATAGGTCAGAATCCAAACGTGGCATGCGATTTTGCGAGGGTGGATGGGGCCGCTGTGATGGACATGAATGCAGCAAGCAGGACTGGGCAGAGGGGGCGACCGCGCGTCTAGCTACAGGCGTGCAGGCTATGATCGCATAGGTCTGGGCGGACCTTTTCTCCAGCTTGGATGAAGAGGTGCGATTCGGGGGGCTGATTTGGTGCCTGCCGTGCTTGCCCGGTTCCAGGTTGTGGACATCGGGGCTCTTTGCTTGGGTGCTGTCGATGTGATGCAGGAGGGATGGTGTGAGCCACCTGCAAAATGGGGCTAATGACGTCAAACCGCCTAGCTCGGCACTGCAGTCCCCTTGGCTGCCCGCTAAGATAACCTTAAAATCCCTGGCGAGGGACGTCTTATCGATGTTTATCGGCTTCTTATCGGAGTCGACCGGCGCTGTGCGACCCCTCCATGCCACCCACCACGCGACAACCCGCTTCCGAGCGGCACCATTTTCCTCAACCAAAAAATTTGGCTGATGATCTGATGTAATACCGACACCAGATATCAAAGCTTACCAGCTGTCATTTCCCCAACCGGTTGTTGACTGTCCACGATTCGTAGAGTGTCCGAAGCGCGCACTTGCACCTGTTGCCATCATGGCGCCCATTCCCATCACAATCATCACCGGTTTCCTCGGCTCCGGCAAGACAACGCTGATCCTCAACCTCCTTCCCCAGCTCAAGGCCGCGAATCCGTCGTACAAGCTCGCTCTCCTCAAGAACGAGTTTGGCGACCTGGCCGTCGACTCCCAACTGGCCTCCTCCAACGCTATCTCGGGTGTGCAGGAGCTCCTCAACGGCTGCATCTGCTGCAATCTCGTCGGCCAGCTGAGCGTCGCCCTCGCCGAGCTGCACTCGACCGTCCGGCCGGATCGCATCGTCATCGAGACGAGCGGCTCCGCCTTCCCCGCGACCCTGGCCCTCGAGGTCAACCGCCTCGCGCGCGAGACCGGCAATTACACGCTCGACGGCGTCATCAGCGTCATTGACACGGAGAACTGGAAGGGGTACGAGGATACGAGCTACACGGCGCGCATCCAGGCAAAGTACACGGACTTGATCGTATTCAATAAGTGGGAATTATGCTCCGAGGATCGCTTTGACGAGGTTCTCGACAGGGTGGGCGACCTCGAGGTGGATATCCCCTGGGTCAAGAGCAAGAAGGGTTGGGTCGGTGCTGAGCTGGTTTTTGGCGTGGACGGAGGTCTCGCACAGGGCCTCACGGAAGAACATACACACGATCATGACCACAAGGGCGAGGACCACTCGCACGATCACCAGACCGAAGTTGAGGTTCTCTCGATCGAACTCAAGGGTCCCAAGGACGCCGCTGTCAACGCGGACAAGCTGCAGAGCCTGCTGCGCGCCGCGCCGAAGGACGAAGTGTATCGCATAAAGGCCGTCCTGACTGCGTCGTCGACCGTGAGGGACTCTGATGAGGATTCTCAGATCCCTACACCGCCGCACCCCCAATCTCGATACATTCTCAACTGGGCTTTTGGTCGGTGGACCTTCACACCCATTGCGGAGGGTGGGGCTGAGCACGCTTCCAGCGAAGGGGCTTTGTTGCGCATGACTATGATTCTGGGACGCTACGAGAGCGGCAAGTGGAAGAAGAAGCTTGAGACTGGTTCGTTCCTCGAGGTCGAGGGCGGCGAGGGCGAGTTGATTGTTACAAAGATCGCATAGATAACACTAGTAGACGAGTAGACGAGAAAGATGATAGACATGGTTACAGGACATGAGAGACGCATAGATGGAGCTTCAAGGGTCTGATACACACTTTTTGAGGCATAGCAATTCGAAGAGAGCGGGAGTTGAGAACGCAGATTTAGACCATTTGCCACAATTGAAGGGGTCGAGTCATTCTTGTTGCGTTGGTATTCAGCCGTTAAATAAAAGCACAGCGAGTTAACGAGCTTTGCTTTGTATTTGCCTTATACCGAGTTGATGCTTGAAGGATTCCCCTCAGCTTGAGCGGAATGATCGCGTTGACCTCGGAATGTGACGCCCCTTCACTTTTGCGGATCGTCTGGAGGCGATTCAAAGGTCTGCGAGACCGTTTAACTTGGCGGAGCAAATTGTGCTTCTCGTCGGTCTATTGCTCCCAGATACAAGGGGGATTTCTCCGTTCTCAGAGTGTGGTATTTGTGTCACGCAAAAAAATTGCATTGCTGATAGCACTCGCACTCTGTTTTGGCGAGGGAGACGCAAGTGACTGGCCTCATTTCTTTCTATACATCTTGATTCACAGCTCATCTCTAAAACTTGTGTGAAGAATATGGGTTTCGGGCTGGCAGTGCTTTGAAGCGAGACAGCCCCATATGACCATCAAAGTGTCTCAATACTATATGCCGATTGACACGGTTAGAAGACAGGTGAAGGGATTTTGGCGAGTGATGTTGTGTTCTTTTTTGCTTCGGCTTCTATGCTGTATAAACTTCTGGGTATCTCACATAATTTTACACCTTTATACTACAAAGTTGATCGTCTTGCCGCCACGAGCCAAGATTACTCTCCTCGGGGAGGTGACATCGAATTGACCTCCGGCAAACTTAGCCTTGCCCTCATCAGACTTGAGAACCTCTGCGACCATCCAGTCTCGCAATGCCTCTCCCTCCAGACCAGATGGGGGGTTGGGAACTTCGACAACACCGCGCAGCTTTCCGTTGATCTGAATAGCTAATGGCTGCCTACGCGGCTTCAGCAGAGACGACGTATTGTCCTGCGCGGGGAACGTGGATTCTTCGAAGATGGAGCCGGATTTGGGATGGAGGAGCCTCCAACACTCCTCAGAGAACGCCGGTGCAATTGGGGCCATCATTCGAAGAAGGACGGACATTGCTTCTCTCTGGACAAGTGGGCTAGCTCCAGTGTTCTCCTGAAGGGTATTAGTCAGACTCATAAGGTCTGAAACGATGGTGTTCATCGGGTAGACAGTCTCGTAAGACTGAGTGATGGAACCGATGGTCCCTTGAACCGCTCTCCAAATAGCGGTGTCGGCGTCCCAGACGGCGAGCTCCTTGTCACCAAGGGAAGACAAGCTGTTCGCTCGCTCCTCAAGGTATGCCACAATGGGCTTTTCTTCGGCCGACGACTCCTGAAGTTTGGCAGCATGGTCATGCAGCCTATGCAGCCATCGCGTGACACCCGCGATTTTGTCCTCGTCCCAGTTGAGGATGTCGCCCACAGGCGCTTGGAAAAGGACGTGAGCTCGCGTAGCATCGGCGCCGTACTTGGAGATGAACTCAGTCGGATCCACTCCGTTATACTTGGACTTGGACATTTTCTCAAATGACACATTTGCCGTAGCACCCGTAGCCACGACTTTGGGGTTTGACGGATCTTCCAAGTCGACCTCGTCTGGTTTCAGAAACTTTCCTGTCTTTGGGTCGGTGTACGTCTTGCCGTGTACCATACCCTGCGTGATCAGTCTCTTAAACGGTTCATGGACTGCGTCAGCTTCGCCTGAAGCAGGGAACAGTTCTGTTGTGGCCAGGAACTTGTAAATGAATCTGGCGTACAGGAGATGCAAGATGGCATGCTCGATACCACCAATGTACAAGTCCACGGGCAATGATTTTGCGGCCTCGACAGAGAGTGGCTGTGATACGTTGTGAGGATCCACGAACCGAGCGTAGTACCAACTTGAGTCAACAAAGGTGTCCATGGTATCGGTGTCGCGCTTGGCATGACCACCACATTTGGGACAGCTTGTGTTTACCCAGTCTTCGGCTCTCTCCAACGGGTTACCGGCCTTACCATCTGTCCAGTGATGGCTAACGTCGGGCAAAGTAACCGGTAGCTGATCATCTGGAACAGGCACTGGACCACAGGAACCGCAGTGAATGACAGGGATGGGCGTTCCCCAGTACCGCTGACGACTGATCAACCAGTCTCTCAGTCTCCACTTCTCAACCGGCTTGGCCAAGTCTGCCGCCTCAAGTATGCCGATGAGCATCCGGCCCGCCTCGGCGGATGATTTACCCTTGAAAGGGCCGCTGTTTGCTGTCATGGTGCCATGCTCGACAAACGGCTCGTTCGCTATTGCGGAAGTTGACTCGTCTTCCGAAGCCGCTAGCACAAACCTCACTGGCTCATCATAGTGATGCTCCTTCCAGAAAGCGTTGTCCCGCAGATCGTGCCCGGGAACGCCCATTACAGCGCCTTCGCCATAATCACCAAGAACGTACGGTGCAACGTACACAGGAATTGATTTCTTGGTGTCGTCGGGAGTCTGCTCGTGGTATGCCAGCGGGTTGACAGCCCTTACATGTGGCAGCATGTAACCGACCTTGGAGTCTTTAGGCAACGCAGGCAGAGTATCCAAGAAAGCCTGGAGCTCAGGATCTGCCTTTGCTAATGAAGTCACAATCGGGTGAGTTGATGCAAGGGCGAGATACTGGACTCCGAATAGAGTATCCGGCCGCGTCGTGAAGACTTCGATAGCCGCATGGACGTCGTGGCCCATGGCCATGACTGGGAACTTGATTACGGCGCCAGTGGATTTTCCGAGCCAGTTCTTCTGCATGGCCAAGACCCTCTCAGGCCAAGCCTCGTTCTTGGCAAGCGTGTCTAAATCCTTCAGCAATGCTTCCCTGAACTCAGAGATGCGGAAGAACCACTGCTTGAGCTGGCGTTTTTCAACCTTGGCACCAGATCTCCAAGAGTTTCCATTGGCATCGACTTGCTCGTTGGCAAGAACCGTCATATCGACAGGGTCATAATTGACCTCGGCTTCGGTTTGGTAGGCGAGGCCACGCTTATGCAACATCAAGAAGATTTTTTGAGTGTGTTTGTAGAAGTCGGGATCGCAGGTGGTCAATTCCTGAAAGATATCATGTCAGCCAGAACAGAGATGGCGAGCGAGGAAACAAACCCTCTCCCAGTCCCAACTGCCATTCATGACCTCTAGCTGTTCCTTCATCTTCGCAATGTTGGTCTTCGTCCAAGTCGCGGGTGCGATTCCACGGTCTATGGCGGCGTTTTCGGCCGGAAGACCGAATGCGTCCCATCCCATAGGCAGCATTACGCTGGACCCCTTCATTGTGTGATAGCGAGCGAGAACGTCGGCAATTGTGTAGACGCGCAGGTGGCCGAGATGTAAGGTGCCAGACGGGTAGGGGAACATTGGAAGCACGTATTGGTTGGGCTTGCTGGAGTCATCTTTTGCGGGAGAAGTTTTCGAAGCTTTCCATTTCTCACGCCACTTCTTATCAAGAGCGTTGAAATCGAGTTTGATGTCGGCATAGCTCCGTCGCTGCGTCGCTTGGGCCAAATATGGACTTGTAAAAGACTGAGGCTGTCGAGTAGCAACTATTGCTGGGGCGGGTCGAGCATTCTTTGCCAAGGTCGCGATGGCCCGACCGGACCAGAGGCGGCCAATGTGTTTCGCGTGAATCAATTGCATGGGTACGGCGTTGTCATGATCGTTGGGTAAGGAAGGTCGCGGTCGTCGGTGAAGGAAGCAAAATGCAGCAGATTTAGAGTCATGCAACGGCGTCACGCTATCGCAGGCTGAAGCGAAGAAAGTGGTTTGTCGCGTTTGCAGCTGCAGCTCCATCAAAAACGGAGAGCTCTCTGGACCCCTGCATTTCCGCCCCTACCCTGCGGAATTTTAGTGGCAGAGGGCCCTGCAGGGGAACGTCATTTGTTCCGCACACCCCTGGGACATATCATCTTTGAAGGAAGGTGTGACAGTGCAGGACCAACACCATGGCACGGGGCTCTGTCGTGATTGGGGTTTCAATGCCCAGGTTTCGTAAACGTGTGGCAATTCTCTCTCTGGGCAAGGTCGTGCTGCAAAGATATCAAGAGCATCTTCGCAAAAGCCCAGGACTGTCAAATCTCTGTTGTAAACAAAGGCTTCTTCTCCAAGGGCAACCGGGCCAGAAAGACGGGGCGGCGGAATAACTAAAAACCGTTTAGGCTTCTTCCGGCACTGTGTGTACCGCGTCTAAGCGCACCTTGAACGCCTCATCCGAAGTCGGTGGTACAGTGTGTGCTGCTATCTCCAAAAAGAAATTGCCCCGCCAAAATCATTTTCAATGTCCCGCGTCTTTGGATATCTTCGTGGGTGCACATCCATTTTGTTCTAGGGGAATGACGACAGCGCAAGCAAGCCAATCACGTCACATTCTGTCCGCTGAGACAAGGAGCTCTGTTCGATTAAGTCTGCTGTAACCCCCTTTGCCCAGTTCCTCATTCCTAATCCCCAAGCTCCCCACGTTACCGGCCGGTATATCAAATTCCAAGACTGGTCCCCCGCCCTTGCCCCTCCGTGGCAGTCTGATACCGACAAAGGAGTCTCAAACGGCCATAAACGCGGAGTCATTTTTCTTCTAACCGCACCATCAAGGAGGGAAACGCGTCAACTAGCCAATCTTCTATCTAGAGCGTCAATCTTCAAGTAGACGAGCTTCGATTCATCGCCCTCAAGATGGAGAAGATCACGGACAAGATCGCCGCTCTGCCGGCAGACGCCAACTACTTCTCCCTGGAGTTCTTCCCGCCCAAGACGGCAATGGGTCTTTCCAATCTACGCGACCGTCTGGACAGAATGGAGAGGGCGCTGCGGCCTCTTTTTGTCAACGTCACCTGGGGAGCCGGCGGATCTACCTCCACAAAGTCTCTGGAACTGGCCGAGATCTGTCAGAGAGAGCTGGGCCTCACCACCTGTCTTCATCTGACATGCACCAACATGAGCCGCAAGCTCATCGATAAGGCTCTGGAGGACGCAAAGGCACTGGGCATCCGGAACATCCTCGCCCTGCGAGGCGACCCGCCGCGGAAGAATGAGTACCGGGACACCGAGGACTCTGAGACTGATGATGCCGAGGATTTTGTGTGGGCCGCCGACCTGGTCAAGTACATTCGCAAGAACTACGGCGACTACTTCTGTATAGGAGTCGCGGCCTACCCAGAGGGACACGCAGACGAGAGCCATCCCCAAGGACAGAGCTTCGAGCACGACCTGCCGTACCTGGTTGACAAGGTCCGGGCTGGCGCGGACTTCATCATGACCCAGCTCTTCTTCGACATCAAGGCCTACGAAAGCTTTGAAAATACCTTAAAAGAGCACCCCAGCGGCGCCTTCAAGGACATCATCCTCCTCCCCGGCTTGATGCCCATCCAGAGCTACCAAATGATCAAGCGGACAACCAAGCTCAGCCATGCCAAGATCCCCGACAACCTCATGGCCCGATTGGACGCGGCCAAGGGCGACGACGAGAAGGTCAAGCAGGTCGGTGTCGACATCCTCAGCGAGCTCGTGGAGCAGGTCAAGGAGATCAAGAGCAGGACGCCCGGCCCCAAGGGCTTCCACTTCTACACTCTCAACCTCGAAAAGGCTGTGTCCTTTATCCTCGAACGGACAGGCCTCATTCCCGACCCCAAGACCGAGGACGAAGAAGCCATCATAGACGACGGCCCGGGCGTCCCCGTCTCCGTTCCCGCAGTCCAGCTCAACGGCCTGTCCCCAGTGCCGCACGCCACCCGCACCCTCTCCGGCGGACGGCGGCCATCGTCAATGGGCTCAGACCCGCACAACCGCATCATCGTCTCCGGATCAGCTTCAAATCCCGCCTACGAGACGACGACCGCCGGCCTGATGGTCTCGGAACCCGTAAACACCCGCGCCAACACCCTCGCAATCTCCGAGGGCGTCGGCGCAGTAGGCCGCGAGGCGACCTGGGACGACTTCCCCAACGGCCGCTGGGGTGACGCCCGCTCCCCCGCCTACGGCGAGATCGACGGCTACGGTGTCAGCCTGCACATGTCCGTGACGCAAGCCATCCGCCTCTGGGGCACACCCAAGACGGTTCAGGACATTAACAACATCTTCATCCGCCACATCAAGGGCCAGCTCAACGCCATCCCATGGTCGGAGGAGGAGCTCCTCCCCGAGTCCAACATCATCCAGCAGGAGCTCCTCGAGCTCAACACCCGCGGCTGGTGGACCGTTGCCTCCCAGCCCGCCGTCAACGGCATCCCCTCCCGCGACCCGACCTTTGGCTGGGGTCCCCAGCACGGCTTCGTCTTCCAAAAGGCCTTTGTCGAGCTGTTCATCCCCTCGTCCGACTGGGCCGGCCTCGTCGCCCGCCTCAACGAGATTACGGACAACACAATCTGCTTCTACGCTGCCAACGGCGCCGGCGACTTTGTCTCCTCCGACGCGAGCGGCGGCCTCGTCCTCGAGGGCACCGAGGCGAGCACAAACGCCGTCACGTGGGGCGTCTTCCCCGGCAAGGAGATCATCACCCCGACCATAATTGAGGAGGTCAGCTTCCGCGCCTGGGCCGAGGAGGCCTTTAAGATCTGGGGCGAGTGGGCCCAGGTCTACGGCAAGGGCAGCGAGAGCGAGGTGCTGCTGGAGCGGATAAGCTCCGAATACTGGCTCGTCAACATTATACACCACGACTACGTCGAGAGGGGTGCGCTGTGGAAGTTGTTGTCGGGTGAGAAGGAGATCTGAGTGCATGGATTTTTGGGATAATAGAGGAAAGAAAAGCGAGCAACAGGGGGGGGAGTGTGCGGGTTTGGTATATCGGTCAGGTGGACTTGGTTCTTCTACAGTCGTGATTACCCCTAGCAGTGAATGAAAGAGGAGATACCCGTCAAGTCTTGCCTTCGAGATTCGATTCGATTTACCGTCAAATCTTGTTGAATGTCATGCCGAATAAGGCACCTAGTGACAGCTGCAATTGATATTTCCAGACCAGAGTCATCCTGTTCCGAGATGTTGCATCAATCTAGGACGCTCGTGTAATATGTAGCCATATGGAGCATATGGTACCGAGATGTGCAAATCAAGTCGGCCTATTGCCTTGGTATCTCATTGAGAATCTCTTCCACTTACTACAGCTCTAAGAGCTCAGTGGGAAAGATCCATCTATCTATAGGAGAATCGGAAAGCCCACTTTGCTATCCTTCGTTGCGTTTTGTACATGATGCCCGTGGCTGAAATCCATCCAGGATGAAGAGAATAGTCCAAGCCCAACGCCAAAATCCGAGTCCGTAAAGAGAAGCTATTGACCCCGCGACGCGAAAGGGTCAAACCAACGGCATGGGAAAGTAAACCTCGAGATAGTTCCTGTCCCAGATTTTCCCTCATTATGCTGTTACGACCAGCTCAGATCTCGCCATCGGCGCCCATAAACGAGTCGTAGCCACCGTTGGAATTCTGCATGCTCTCGGAGAAGCTGAAGTTGAGCTCATCGTTGATTCTGTTGGCAGGGTTGAGAAAAGCGTCATCCATGGACTGCGAGAAGCTGTCGTTGCCGGTGAAGCTGGCCATGGCAGCGGGCTGGATGACGGTCTGCTGATTAGCGGTGGCCTCGTCGAAGGACGGCTGCGGGTTCATGGCGACATGCTTGGTCTCAACAATGGTAGGGAGCTCGTAGCCCGAACCGTTGTCCGGGGTGTTCACCTCACTATCGGAAGTGGTTAGATCGACGGCGGCAGCTTGTGCAATGGTTGCAGCCGCGGCGATAGTAGCGGCACGGCTCGGGGTGGCGCTGCGGCGGGGGTTGGGAGTGCCTCTATTCTTGGTCACTCGGCCATCGATAACGTTGTGGACGCGGGTCTTGGAGGGAGTGTCCTCGAGTGCGTTATAGTCGACTTCCTCACCCTCCTCTTCATCGTCAGACATCGGGGCAGGCTTGATCTGCATGGTCTTCTTCGTTGTGGTCGAGCGACCACCGCCTGAAGCGCGAACCTTGGTGGAGGGGGTTCGGGGCTTTCGAGGAGTCGAAGCAGCGCTTGTAGTACCGCTGGGGGTTAAAGTCAAGGCAGAGGCTGGGTTACCACCACTGTTGGCCGTCTGCTTGAGCGACTCTGCATCCTTCTTGATGCCTCGGAACTGGAACTGGATGCCATCGGTGGTAGATTCGCCGAAGAACTTGGCAATATCTGTCATCTCCTGTTAGTATACTCCACAGTCAAGTTCCAGTCTTGGGGCGGTGCTCAGGGAGGAATGGCTAGGGGAGATGTGATGTATGGGAGTAAGGAAACGTATATCGAAGCAGAAGCAATCTCAAAAAGGGGGGAATGGGACAAAGAGCATTGGTACCCTTCTTCTCCTTGGGCAGGTCCACGGGGATGACCTTGCAGTCGATGCCCTGTTCATCCGCCTGCTGAAGCACAATAACATGATTGCGGATAGCTCTGAACCGATGTTGGAGAGCATCCTTGGTCATATCTGAGCCGTAAAATTTCTGGATGTCTGCCGTACGTCAGAAATGACGTCGACGGTAGTGAATAGTGAAAGGAAAGCCGAGGAATATGGAAGATGAGAATTCCGAGGAATACGAAAGATGGGAATTGGGCCACGACAAAAGAGAAGAAACACGACCAGTTCTTACCCTTGTGGTTCCACTTGACCTCCGGATGGGCAGCCACGATGGCGCGAAGAAGGCGCGCCTGGGCCTCGTAGGTTTTGAAGTTTGCAGGGGCCATCTTGTTACTTGATCTGTGGAATCGTCGTGTCAGTAGTGAGTCGATTGGGGTCTGGGTTGGTGTTGAGGGTTGGAAATATGTACCTCAGGTGACGCAGTGGTTGGTGGTTTTGAGAACTAGCGAGAGCTCGGAGAGAAAGAGAGATACAGAAAGAAGGTAGGCTGAGTGGCAAGAAAAGGAGGCCAGGCAATTTCGGCAGGCGATAATCTTTGCGCTTGCTCAGAAGACTGAAAAAAGAGAGCAGCTCAGGTGGAAAATTGATGTAATTGTTAGGTACGACTGATGTCTTGATTCGATCTTTTTGAAGGTATGGTCGGTCGGTAGCTTGTTGTGTGCTGCTTTTGGAGTGTAGATATCAGCTTTAGCACTGACTGACTAAGGTTTGAGGTGAGGATGGAAGAATATGAAATGGTGAGCTCGAGTGAAGTGTGTGAGGGAGGGTAGGGGTGACCTCGGAGGAGGGAGGGGCTGTTGGAAAATGGCAGGAAGGTGGTGATGAGTCCAGAAGGGAAAGACCAACTCAGCCGACGCGACTTGCACGAGGAAGCAGGGGTCGTGACTTTGGACTAAACAAGTCAGTCAGTCAAGGCGTATTGCAATGTGCGAGACTGAAAATTAAGGCAGATGACAATGGGAAACTGTCTGAATTTGAGTCCTGCGAGACCAAACATAGCCCATTGACATGAATATTTGAAGGATGTCAATAGTGCATGGAGGCAATAGCAATAGGTGGGATGCTGCCAAAAGAAGCGAGAATTTTTTCGTCCACTGTCAAATGGTGAAGTGGGAAATGGCTCGATGGACCTGTCTGAAGTCCCTCTGCCCATGACTTACACTTGGATCTGGCACGAAAATTCCGGGAAAGAACCAGGCTCCAACATTGATCCACGCCTTATATGAAGGACAGTCTTAGGCAGTATCATCAGGACGTTGCTTCCAACCTATGATTAGAAGCAAGCCCAGAGATCCGTTTCATAGACTGATGGGGAGCTAGATGGAAAGTAATCTGCCCATCATAAAGCACTTGTCTCTTGACAGTAGGAAATACACCACGCTTGCTTACCTTTAGTAAGGTCCCACCAACGTCTCTACTTTGACGCAGACCAGTCGAGTTCTTTGTTAGCCTAAGACTCAACCACGAAAGTAGTCAGATCTTGACAGAGAATGGCCTCCGTGAGAAGCTCTCAAGTCTTCGTCCTTCTAGACTATAAGTTGGGAGTACAAGGAACACCCAAGCACTAGACTGGTAGCGAACTGGGATGAATGCTGATGGGCGCAAGGCACAGCGACGGAGCCTCTTCAACTAGCTTGAATCGTAAGTTGATAAAGACAGTTGAAAAGGTTCCAAGTCGCCAGGCTGGATTATCGAGTTGCGAATGAGCTTGACGTCGATTTTCGGTACCTGAGGAGCTTCGACAATTCTGGAAATTACTTGCTGGTTGGCCGGGTGAATGAGTAAAAAGTTGGATGGAAAAATAGGACAAAAGAGCTGTTTGTGGGTCTATGTGTGTGGAAAATGAAACAAAAGTGAGCGTTTCTCTTTGATTCCGAAGGAATTCGTGTTAAGCATGAGCCCCCAAAGGTGCCAATTGTCTCGAGATAGGATTCGACGGTGATGGTGTGGTACGGTAGTTGCGAGTTGGGTGGCCAACTCAAAAAGTGGGAGGTTGGGAGCCTCTGCAACTCCTGGGTATTGGCGATATTTGGTGAGATTCAGTTAAGGAACGACATGACCACCAGGCTCGTCACCAATACATCAAATTGAATTAGGTGCAATTAAAACTCTGAAGGTTGCATATAAGAATTTGGGTATCCAGATGCATGTGCGTCACCAGAATAATACTTTCTACGCCATTCACGATGCCAAACGCCATCTTGGAAACCAGCCAGCAAAGTACTCACTAACGCTCGATAACGACGTTGGCCACCATCCAGAGAAGATTGAGCTCGCTCATCAAACCCCTGCAGTCCCAGAGCAATTACCATTGGCCCTAAGCTGTTGGCCCCTGAAACTCCTTGTCTAATCCCTGTCTAAGCTACCTCTCCCATATCATTTGCAACATCTCGCAGAATTTACAACGCTGTTATGCGGGCCGTACATATTGGTGGACCTTGGACCTAAATAACCATCATATATTGAAAGAGCAGGCAATCAAGGTGCCCGCGATTCATTGCAACTCCTTGCCAAAGGGGCTAGAGGTTCTTCGGCCGGCGGGACTGGACCTGCCACTGACGTGCTCGGGCAAAGGAGGCTTGTAGACCCCGTTAGGGTACTGAGGATACTGGGACATGGGGTGCTCCTTGATCTCACCCTTCTCTCCATCGCCGTACATGAGGTACTGGACGCCAAGGAACGAGTCGCATCCGGCCTGGAACATGCCACACAGCTTAAAAGCCCACGGGATCTCTGTGGTAGACGTGAAGAACCAAAACATCTTCATGGCGTCACCAATCAGCCAGCTCGCCAGCACGGAGAGGCGGAAGCCCTTGCAAGACCTGGACCGCGAGTTGGAGAAAATCTGAGGCAGGGGTAGCGTCGCCTCCACCCCGAGACCGATGTAGCCGATGAGCGTGGAGTAAGTTTGGTATATGGGTCGCACGGGCGCGAGAAGCAGTTCGCAAACGGTCAAGCCGATGAAGAGGTAGAGGAGAAATTGCCAGTAACTAGGGCGGTTGTTAGTCGCGGGTACAGGATGCGCAGCGTAAGACGAAAGACTCACGGCTTGGGCGACCTCCACTGCCAGAAGTGGTACGGCCTCTGCGCACCGAAGACGGGGCCGTCGTTGACGTTGGCGAATGGCGTCGCGGCCTCTCCTCCCTTGGCCGACGGTGGCAAGCGGTGATCCAAAGCAATCTTGAGCAAGATAACCTGCATTACAACCATTAGGAGGGCCTGGATGAGCAAGGCAGTATCGAATCGCGCGCCAGGCCAGTAGAAGATCCTGTTGGAAGCGAACTGTGTCAGCTTACTCCGAAAGAGACGGGGCAGATGCGCTCAACGTACTTCAGCAGAGAGGCTACGAGCATAATCAGCGGGATATCGAGAGAGAAACCGGCGCTGGACTTGTTCTTGTGCATCGACATGGCCTGGTCGCTATAGGACAGAACTGGCGACATGATGAGGAAGATGGGGGCTAAATAGCCCGCGAATGTCGTTAACCAGCGCATGATTACGGCGGTAGAGGAGCGAATGCTGCGGCGCGCAAGCAATTGAAGCAGATTCGATCAAAGTCAGAGGCAAGTGCAACAACTGGATAAGGTGGGAGAAAAGGGGGGTCCCGAATTATATCGTCCCAAGATTAAGGTAGGCGGACGCGTAGAAAGAAAAGATGTGACGAAGCGGAGCGCGGCGGCGGCGGCGGGCGGGCGGGCGGGCGGACGAGCAGTCGCAGAATCGTCGAGCTCGATTCTCTTGAGAAATTGAAGAAGATGAGAATTTATCAGGGGAGCCAATCAGTCGAAAGGCAAGACAAGGTTTGCACTTCCCGCCAGTGAAGCGAATTGCTTGTTTTTCGCTGACGTCGCCTTTCCCTGTTTCCCAATGAACCGAGTGCCCTTTCTGGACCGCGGAATCTGGCAGGAACGGTTTGACAGTGACAGGGTTCAGCGCTTGGGCGGGAGTGGAGGACTCGGGCGGAAGAGCAGGAAAGCTGAAGTGCCGCCAGCTGGTTGCCACTCGCACGGAGACGAGGGAGGGTCCAGGCGTCCCGAAAGTTTGGGCCATCTTACAGCGGGACTCGCAGCGGGAGAGGAAGGTCACGCACGACCTCGCATATGACAACTCTACAAAGTAACGACCTGTGTGCGCAACGACGGGACTGGCTCGTTGGTACAACCATTTCCAGTATGGTTGACAACTGCACAATGTAGATTGTGGGTGACCTCAGTCCGGCTCCATCGGATGGAAATTTTGTGATGGCAGGCCTGAGCATGAACGGCTAGCTCCTTTGCAATGCTTGGGTTGGCCCTCAGTTATGCATCCCAAGGTCATCCATGATCCGACACATGCTCTGACCAGTCATGGTCTCGCAACACTAGTCACGACTTCTCTGGGATGGTTCTTGCTCGCCTCACCGACCTTCCTCTCTGCCTTCTTGTTTTTTTTTTTTTGCCGCCTCTTTCCGCTTCACTGCACCAGCCACATCAACAATCTGGAAGTCTGCCACAGGCTCCGACAGCGGGCAGTCACCAAGCACAGAACATAAGAAAGAGGACACCAGCCACAATTCATGCGGCCCTGACTCCCAGACGTGGGACTCATCAAGCAGCAACGTCTGTAGTTTGAGGGGACTGGCAGTGGGATTTGTCGCGGTGAATGCACAAAATGCGGGAGATGCACCACTCCTCCACCTCCACCGCCACAAAATGGCCTAGTGCCCCGCGGTTGGAAAAAAAAAAAAAGTCTCCAAAGCCTCCGGTTTTCATTATCGGCCGCCAATCTGCAGCTGCCCCACCAAAATTTCTAAATCACCCCGCCATCTCGGAGCGGGAGACTCACAAGATGCCGCCGCCTAAAAACTTATCTCTATCGCCAACACGACATCCACGAACGCCGGGCGAGACTTCCTTTTTAATCGAAGGCCGCTCTCCGTGTCCTACGCCCACTGTTGGCAGAATGGAGTTCCTCACCCTCGTCGGCCAGGAGGCCTACACCACCAAGCAGGCCGAAGAGCTCAAGACGCGCATCAACAAGCTCGATGCTGCTGCAAACAAGGTCGCCAGCGTCGCCGGCATCTGGATCTACTACGTCCACCTCAAGAACAGTGACAACAACCTCATTGTCCAGCAAAAGCTGACCAAATGGCTTGGCCTGCCCGACCAGACAAACGCTCAGATTGCCGCCAATACTGATACCCAAAAGACCTACTATGTCACCCCGCGGAACATCTCACCCTGGTCGTCCAAGGGAACCAGCATCACTCACGTCTGCGGCCTCGCAGACCACATTGACCGCATCGAGCGCGGCAGAGCCATCACCCTCACATTTGAGAACCCCGTCTCTGAGGTTGACATCGCCTTCAAAGATGTCGTCTACGACCGTATGACTGAGACAATTGGCCTGTCGCGCCCCGACCTAGCAGCCATGTTCATTGAGGGTCAAAGATTCCCCTTGGAGATCGTCGACATTCTCGGTGACGATGTTCGGAACGCCGATGCTGCAAAGGCGGTTGAAACTCTCAAGTCTTACAACAAGCAGTTCGGTCTGGCTTTGGATGACTCCGAGATCGAGTACCTCGTCCAGGTCTTCAAGAACCTCGGACGCAACCCCCACGATGTGGAGCTCTTCATGTTCGCCCAGGTCAACTCGGAGCACTGCCGCCACAAGCAGTTCAATGCCAACTGGACCATTGATCAGCAGCGCATGGGCAAGAGTCTCTTCGAGATGATCAAGAACACCCACAAGTCGAACCCCGAGTACACCGTCTCCGCCTACAGCGACAACGCCGCCGTTCTCCAGGGCGAGACCGCCAGCTTCTGGGCCCCTGACTACTCCACCGGCAGCTGGAAGCTCACCAAGGAGGTCGTCCACGTCCTCGTCAAGGTTGAGACGCACAATCACCCTACCGCCATCTCACCTTTCCCCGGTGCCGCTACCGGTGCAGGAGGTGAAATTCGTGATGAGGGCGCCGTCGGACGGGGCTCTGCTCCCAAGGCAGGTCTCTGCGGTTTCTGGGTCTCGGACCTGTTGATTCCGGACGAGAAGGCCCCCTGGGAGGTCGACCTGGGCAAGCCCGCCCACTTCGCCAGCAGTCTCGACATCATGTTGGAGGCCCCAATCGGTAGCGCTCGCTTCAACAACGAGTTCGGAAGACCCTGCCTGCTTGGTTGCTTCCGCACTCTCCTCACCAACGTCGGCAAGGAGGAGTCCCCCGAGTGGCGCGGGTACCACAAGCCCATCATGATTGCCGGTGGTGTTGGAACAGTCCGCCCTCAGCACGCCCTCAAGGAGCTCGGCGACGTCCACGATGGTGCTCATGCCATTGTCCTCGGTGGTCCCGCCATGCTCATCGGTCTCGGCGGAGGAGCCGCCTCCTCAAACGACTCCAGCGAGGCCACGGCCGAGCTTGACTTCGCCAGTGTCCAGCGTGGCAACCCTGAGATGGAACGTCGCGCCCAGATGGTCATTGACACCTGTGCCGCCCTCGGCGACCAGAATCCTATTGCCATGATCCACGATGTCGGTGCTGGTGGTCTGTCTAACGCTCTTCCCGAGCTCGTCAAGGATGCCGGCTTCGGCGGCAAGTTCGAGCTGCGCCAGGTTCACAGCGCGGACAGCAGCTTGAGCCCCTTGCAAATCTGGTGCAATGAGGCCCAGGAGCGTTATGTCCTGCTCGTCAATAAGGAAAACATCAACCGCTTCGTCAGCATCTGCCGTGAGTTCCTCTCCATCATGTCTGCACAGCTCTTGTACCATGCTAATACGTCCCCCAAGGTCGTGAACGCTGTCCCTTTTCCGACGTGGGAACCGTCGCCGCCCAGGACGCCCAAGGCAACGCCAAGCTGACCCTCAGCGACCGCGACTCCCCCGAGCAGCCGATGCCCATCGATCTGCCCTTCAACGCCCTCTTTCCTCCCGGCCGCCGCCTCGAGCGTGTCGTCGAGTCCCGCAGACTGGAGCTCCCCGCGTTTAACGCGGCTGAGGCCCTCGCCTCCGCCGGTGCTGCCGAGGCCACCAACTCTGCTGCCCTCATTACCGCTGCCACAGAGCGCGTCTTCCGCATGCCTGCCGTCGGCTCCAAGTCCTTCCTCATCACCATTGGCGACAGGACCGTCGGAGGTCTCTCTGTCCGCGATCAAATGGTCGGCCCCTGGCAGACCCCAGTCGCTGACTGCGCCGTCACGGCAACCTCGTTCAGCCTTGACTCCAAGACTCGCACCGGCGAGGTCATGGCCATGGGTGAGAAGCCTCAGTTGGCTCTCATCTCCCCCGCCGCGTCGGCTCGCATGGCCGTCGCCGAGAGTCTGCTCAACCTCGGGGCCGCTGACATCCTGGGCCGCCTAGACCGTGTGAAGCTGTCTGCCAACTGGATGGCCGCCGTCAACCACCCTGGCGAAGGTGCCGGTCTCTACGAGGCCGTCCGTGCCATCGGTATGGAGCTGTGCCCACAGCTCAAGATCTCCATCCCCGTCGGCAAGGACTCGACTTCCATGAAAGCTTCGTGGAAGGACCGCGAGTCTGGCGAGGCAAAGAGCGTCACGGCGCCCATGTCCGTCATCATCACTGCCGTCACTGTCGTCGAGGACGTCCGTAACACATGGACTCCTCAACTGCGCCGCATCGAAGACGTCGGCGAGACAATCCTCATCTACGTCGACCTCGCCGAGGGCAAAAAGGCCATGGGCGGCTCCGCACTGGCGCAATCACTGGGACAAATGGGCGACGAGGCACCAGATGTGCGGAACGTGGATCTCATTACAGACTACTTTGATGCTCTGCAACAACTACACAAGAGCGGCGTGGTACTCGCCTACCACGACGTCTCGGACGGTGGCCTGCTGACCACCGTCGCTGAGATGATGTTCGCCGGCCGCTGCGGCGTCGACCTCATGCTTGACGGCATCGCCAAGTCCGGCTCCTCCAACGACATCCTCGAGGCTCTCTTCCACGAGGAGCTCGGTGCCGTCTTCCAGGTCCGCAAGGAGGACGAGACCAACTTCAAGCGCTGCTTTGCCACCTGCGGGCCTCCTCCCGGCCTCGTCCGCACCTTCGGCGTCGTCCAACCCAAGGGCAACCAGACCCTCAACATCCGCCACGGCGGCCACACCCCCATCGTTAGCCTCGACCGCGCTGAGATGCAGCAGTGGTGGTCGAGGACGTCGTACGCCATGCAGAGGGAGAGAGACAACCCGACGTGCGCCGACAGCGAGTACGGCATCGTCTCCGACTCGGCCGACCCCGGTCTGTCGTACAACCTTTCCTTCTCCCCGTCGGAGAACATCATGCCCCTGACAGCTTCCCTCGGCAGCCTCCTCCGCAAGGCGCCCCGCGTCGCCATCCTCCGCGAGGTGGGCGTCAACAGCCATCGCGAGATGGCTTTTGCCTTCAAGGCTGCCGGCTTCGACCCCATCGACGTTCACATGTCCGACGTCCTCGCGGGCCGCTCCCTCGCCGACTTTGTGGGCGTCGCAGCGGGCGGTGGCTTCTCGTACGGTGACGTCTTTGGCGCCGGCGTCGGCTGGGCCCAGTCCATCCTCGAGCACAAGCACGCACGCCAAGAGTTTGAAAACTTCTTCAAGAGGCCCGACACCTTCACCCTGGGCGTCTGCAACGGCTGCCAGATGATCACCCGCCTCAAGGAGCTGATCCCGGGCACGGAGAACTGGCCCACCTTTGTCGAGAACGCGAGCAGGCAGTTCGAGGCGCGCTTCGCCATGGTCAAGATCGACGAGTCCCGCGCCGCAACGCCTTCCGTCTTCCTCCACGGCATGAACGGCTCGTCCCTCCCCATCGCCGTCTCCCATGGGGAAGGTCGCGCCTCCTTCTCGAATCCCAACGCCCTCGAGAACCTGGGTCAGGAAGGGCTCGTGCCCCTCCGATACGTCGACAACCGCTTGCGCGTTGCGGAGGCGGAAAGTTACCCGTACAACCCGAACGGTAGCCCTGGCGGCGTGGCTGGCGTCAGGAGCAGAGACGGTAGGGTCTTTGCGCTCATGCCCCATCCCGAGCGGACCATCATGGCGGACGTCGGCAGCTACGTCCCCGCGGAGCAGGTCGAGGGTTGGGGCGAGTTCGGCCCGTGGGTCAGAATGTTCAAGAGCGCCAGACGCTGGGTGGGCTGATTTTTTTTTTTTCACCTCACATCAACTTCACTGCCTGCCTTGACACCGGCTGTTCTATGCCAATGGCCAGTGGATTAGGAAGGGGAGAGGGGGTCCAGGTTTCTGGTAACAACCAACGAGAATGGAAAATGATAAAAGGCAAAAAAAGTTGGTGGGTGTGGTGGTAGCACTCAGTACAGCAGCAGCATCACTGATGGGGGATGGATACGAAAGCGGATTAGACAATGTCACACAAAAAAAATCACCTTTTATTTTGAGGAGTTTGACTTGAGTACAAAACAAATACACAAATATTCAATGGCTGGGAAGGAAAGGGTAACGGGAATGAATAGCATGGAGGAAGTGGGAAGCAAAGGAAGGGAGGAGAATCATCTATCCTGTCCATAGGTTTACTTACTTTATCGAGCATAACTTGGGATCTTTGTTTTTATTTTTAAAAAAGAACTTTTGATTTTGATTTTCTTGACATGCCACTTGTCCCTTTTGTTTTTGCTTCTCCTTCTTCTTGAGTGACTCAACGACCAAGTGCGTAGGTAGTCTGTTGCGCATCGCCAGACGAGACCAAAGTCTTGCAGCAACTGCTCAATGAGGAAAAAAACGGGTGGGCCCAAAAGGCCCGAAGATTCATTCCCCTTCTCAACTTTCTGCTTGCAGTCTCGACTCTGCGGCAAGGCATTTTGGGAGGGGGGGGCGGGGGGGCTGACGGAAGCGAGGGACAATGATGCCGGCCAATGATCCATCTCCGGACAGTCTACGAAATGAACAGGAGGAGGACTTCTCGTCTGCTCAGCGTCTCTGGCGTCTCTGGCGTCGCTCAAATGGGGATGGGCACGCCAGGCGAAAAGAGGCCAGCATACCTACTCCGTCAAGGGAGTTGATAAAGTGTACGTATGTATTTGTGGATGTATTTGTCTGTCAGTCCGCCTGCCTGCCTGCCTGCCTCTCTGTCCATGTGTGCCTATCTATCCATGTCTCTCCTCCCAGCTCTGAAGAACTGGGGAAGACCAAGTAGGAGGGGGAAAGACGACGCCAGAGGAACTTTGTGCTGCAGGTAGATGATGCAGCGAACATCCAGCGTCCTCCATCCTTCGTTCCATGACGCCCAAGCCGCAGACCCGAAGGAGGGGTGGTTCTTTTCGGGCCATGTGTCTCGTCCTTGATCCTCCTCTTCCTCCTCCTCCTCCTCCTCCACAACATCCCTCCCTGTTGAGTCGTTCCCGTATGCGGGCTGCTGCTGCTGCTGCTGCTGCGTCTGGCCAGGGGGGGGGGGGGGGAGAGGGCAAGCTACCTGCCTTGCCTGCCGAAGGAAGGAAGGAAGCAAGGAAGGAAGAGGAGGGACGAAGTTGTGGTTGGTGCTTCGCAGATTTGTTTGGCATTTCCACTCACCTTCCTGCATTTGGTAAACTCCATATGCTTCCTCGGGAACCTACCTCAAGGAAGGATCCCCACGCGCTGACGAAGAGAGGCAGCAGGAACATACCCAAAATCACACAAAATCTCCAATTTCCATCGTCCGTACTGGGAAGCGAGCAAGCAACCGACTGTGCCTCTCTCTCTCCTTCTCCCTCCCAGTTTACGCACGAGATTTGGGCGGATTCCTTTCGCATTGGTTTGTCCCGATCGAGCCTTGCCACGCTTCGCTTCGAAAAGAAGATTGCGTTCCGCTGTCCCAACCCTCTCCTCTTGCCCCTTTCGAGCGGTGCTGTCTCTCCAACATAGGCCAGGTTGCTAGTTAGAGATAGTCACACCCAGCACTTGGACGGCCGCACCTGGACGGTGTCCCGACTGTACGGATAGAGGTCCACTGGGCCAAAGACGTGCTAGACACCAAGAGGCACGCACCCGCATGCCACTGCGCTGCTCGACGAGCGACGCGGGATACCATCTCCGCCAGGCGATGTCCATCGCCTTGCACTGTTAGGATGTTCGATACCTCGAAACAGAGTGCCTGCAGCATAGGTAGTCGACCGCACCCTCAAGGTCTGCCTACTGCATGTACACGCGCTGCACACCTGCGGCGAGGTACACGCCTTGATTCCCTCCTTCGCAGCCACAGGCTATAACCCATCTATCACAAGTGTACGGATACAAGAGGCTCCCGGGGCTAAGAAGCGCACGCAGACATGTCATTGGAGGGAGACATCTTCCGCAAGGTTGCGTTGGCGTCTTGGGGCGCTGCCGCTTCCTTCCTCCCTCCTGGTGAATGCCGCGAGAGAGGAGGCAAGCGGGCTTGTTCGCTCAGTAAGGTCTTTCGATAGGTTGGAACGGCCATCCGCATGGCGGTTGTTGATCGCGATGCAGGGCAGACGCGGGCATAGCATTCGCCCGTCGGCTTCATGAAATTACCCTGTTGGCCGGGAAATTTCAAAGAGGCGCGACAGGTGCATAAGGTTCATTCTGAGTTGGCTTCCACTGGAAGCCTAGGATAACTGGGCTTGCGGTGGCTCGTATTAACGCCAGTCTGGTGAGTTGGCCGAGGAGGCACAACACCCGAAGACGAGGGACTTGGGCTGATTCACCATCCGATTTCAGCAAGCGTGACGTCCTCCCATTGTCTGTCTCCCTTGCCTGTGCCGCAGGGCATGATCATCATAGACATGAAATGTCGGCTGGGTGGTCCGGGGCGGATAATCCCCCAGTTGGATGGAGGCTAGTCATATCGGAGCCGCAGCTGGCTGGGCTGGCTCCGTTCCAAAGGCATGGCATCCACCACTCGGATAGTTGGATGGCCGACAGCCCCCTTGAGAACCACAGATCATCCGCCAAGGGAACTCGAGAGAAAGTTCGTGTTGGCAGGACCGTCATTTCCCCTCCTCACCGGTTGCCTCTCTAACATGTGGCGGGCCGTCGGTGGATAGCAAAGGGAAGATGGCACGATGGGCAGCGTGGGCCAGTCAAAGGGCCCCGAAGCAGCAAATTCTGAGGAGGCAGCTCCTCCATTGCAATACTCCGTAGCAAGGCCATATGTCCAGTGCCGAAAGTCAATCTTGGCAATGGGTCAAAACTTTCTGGCCGTTCATCCCACGGCGCAACGGCACTGGGGTCCCCATCATCGGCCCCGCCTCAAATCCACCAACATCATCCGCATGAGAGAGGCCAGGACCATCCATGACGATCCCAGAGTGTGCTTGGGGAAGGAAGCTTTGGCCAGGCACCGTAATTTTCTTTTCCTCTCGACGCACCGTAAAGAGATGGATGCAGCGTCGGGGTTCCCTTGGCTAGGCGCACAATTGCCAATGAGAACGACTGCCGTGGACAGGGCCCAGGCCCAGATTGCCATGGTGGTGCCATGTTGTGAAGTCCCAAGTCCCGAAAGGTTAGACTGATGACCCCTGGCAAGCGTCGCCCGCAGTGCCGCAGCAAGTTAGCCTTACGGATGGACTCGACGACAATAAGAGATTGGTAATGGCCATTGGACGAGTACCTAGTTGCATAAGTACGTCGATTTAAGAGGAGAAAGCACGCGAGGGCGCACACTCTGAATCTCTGGCTGCTGCTCGTGCGGCGTAGACGGACGGATCCATGGAGCAGCCATCTCATCTCATCGCCGCGTGGGCGGCGCACGCCATGCCACACTTGAGGATAGACGGCCCTCTGGCCTGGCCTAGGCTGGGCCGCAGACCAGCAGCAACGCTAAGAAAACAGGAGACCGTGATGGCGTCTCTGGAGCTGCTCGTAGTCGTCCTCGTGGCATGTCGAGCGATGTGAGAAGAAAGACTGGCCGGATGCTTGGGTTTCAGACAACCTATACGGATGCACAGGCTAGCTGCTGGTCAGATGCGCTGGGAACCGACGTTGGTCGGCATGGGATGCGATAAACGAATAAATCAATCCCGATGACGGGGGCTTGGACGTGCTCTGGGGCTGGGGCTCTCATTAAGAGTGAGCTAGGCGCCACACCCGGCTCGTTCGGAGCGAATCCAGGGTCTTTTTCGGCGGTTTTGCGGCACTGGGCGACTCTGGAGCCTGACGCCATGCACATGGCAGCTATTCATATCCGTATATTGAGGTGCTTACCGCAGCAATTCTCTCTCGGCAATTAGCCACCCCGGCTGCTCAGAACTTGAGTTGTACCAAGGTATGTAACGAAGGGCCCAGTGCGTAGTGTGATCCCAACTTACGCCGCCGGGCTCCATCTAACTGTAGCGGGTGAGCACTCGGATGGATGACATGACCAATCTTGGATGTTCAAACCCAGTTCCGTCATCTGCCTACACAGTACAAATAGCGGCTGGGATGACATGATGAGCATTAGGGGTGGGTGACGGTCTCCCAGGACCATGGTATCGTTGGATGAGCTAGCGGTTCAGATGCTTCGCTATCTGATCTCTGCTCACGCGGTTGGTGCTGTCGGGGCTTTCGGTGCCTTCGAACGGGGAACATCGGCTGTCCAAGAGTTGACGGAGGCAAGGGAGTCCGCGGGTGAACAGCGTCGGTAGCTGTCGAAGGCTAAAGTATTAGTGGCCGGCTGTGTGTCATGTCTAGGATTCCTCCCCAGTATCAACCTGTCCGAAGACTAGGTATGCCGGGCTTGCCTTGACAGGCGACCCTCCAGCCCAGCCGTTGGTGTTGGGAACCAGCGCCGGAAGCAAAATTTCCTTCAATCAGAAGCACGGAGCGATGGCTGGACATGGAATGGGTCGAGCGCTCTGGGGGCCCACGTCATCTTCAGAAGGGGGACAACGGCTCCGAAGTGCAGGGCCCGGGAGTGTCATCGCGGCCGGCCTGGGGATCTGCTCTCCAGGATTTCGGTCACGGATTTGGGGGTTTTGTGTGCGATACCGCGGCTATTCTTAGACGAAGCGGAGAGGCCTTTTTGTACTGTGTGCCTCAGTAAGCTGTTATACGCACACGATGTTACGCCAGCTTTTTTCAACGCAACATCTCATCTTTCAGTCCTTTCCGAAAGTCGTTTCAAACAAATAGCCCGTTTATGGTTCATTCGAACTATCCTCAAAATCTCACAATCCGTTGGTTACCCACTTCAAACACTTGCTGGTTGATTCAAGGAGGCTTATGATCTTTGTCGCCCATGGGCCACTCGGTGAGTATACTGTGAAGGAACGGGTTCCAGTCCTTGGCTCAAGACTGGTAGAGTCCCCTCTCGACTTGCAGGCGATTAGATTGCAATGCCAGGGACCGCCCGGTTACCACCGCTAGATATAGGGAGTGGGCGCAATGTGTCAGCCACGCCCGCAAGGGCGTAAGAAGGCCTCGTGTGGCATTCCATCAGCGCCGGCCATCCATGCCCTCAAAAGGGCTTCGAGGGTCGGAGCATGGTGGAACATCCAGCTGCCATCGCCTGTGGTAGAATTTCGTATGGAACGTCGCTCAAGCTGTGAGCAACGGACGGCCCGCCTGTCGTCAGCCGCCGGCCTTCAATGCCCAGCCAGCAAATCCGTACCAGGCTGACCGAGCATGGTGAGCCCGTTATCCATGGACCATGGGCCGGGGCAGGCTAGCGAAGAGGATTGATATCTCGCACCGCTGCCGCCCACCCAAGGGATGTGACTTGGGGGCCGATGAAACTGGAAGGTCGCTGACCTTGTTCTTGGCTCCTCTTCGGTCCCTCTCTCATACGATGTGTGTGCCAACCGCACCAACGGGCCCCATAATATCAACATGGCCTGAGCCGCGCCCGTCCTAGGTGATAGTCAGCTCCGCAAAGGCATGGCATTGTGGAGGATGAAGTAACAAGCCCCCCCCACAGTAGTGTACAACTGGCCCGGCCCTTCGCCAGTATCCCAAGTTCCATTCACGGACGAGGGCGGTTTTTTAGCGTCCGATCCAGGTATGGGAGCCACTAGGAGCTTGATTCGCTTTGGGAAGCCTCTTTGGGAACGCGATACCAGGGATGCTCAATTCCGCACCGCAACCTGCCCCTCACGTGCCAACCTTGAATTGCGATGGTCACCTCAGTGGCTGAGTTGAAGTCCACTGAAAGTAGAGGGTGATAAACAAGTCCTCAATGTATCAATCGCCGAGCTGGCTCGGAACTTAAGATCTGGAGGTGTGGGAATGGGTGCGTATAGCGGAGGACCAAGACTCCCGTCCACTCGCGTCGGATTCAGTCGTAGTCTGTAAATGTGTTGCTGGGGCCACTGCCTCTTCATCTAGTGCTGCCTACCTACGCAAGTAGGTGCGCTATTTGCCGAATTGGAAGTGACTCTTACGTGCGTGGTGAACGGCACACTCTGGATCAGCCTTGCGACGCCAGCGTCGCATGAATCGGGAATTGTGTGCTCTT